GCTACGAGCCTTTTCAGAAGAACGTTTTTATTTGTTACTATTTACCTACTCTTGACTTTTCCTCGTAGCACTTTTCTCTGTACCTTTAAATTAAATGATCTCAATAAAAGTAAGGTTACAAAATCTATGGCATTGCTCAAAAATGTAAAGTTTCACATTTTTTTCTTAGAATAACTGCACTTAATATTGGAATGGAGTTATTTTTAATGCATCGCAGTAAGGCATAGTAAGCTTTAGGCAGAGTAAGGTCTTCACAATCAAAAAAATATTTATAACTAGCTTTGGACAATTTCAAAGCGGGTATTAGCCCCAAGGAAGCAATTATTATGCTTGTGTTATTATGGGTACTAGATATACTTTTTAAATTTTAGCTCGTAGAGACGATGGCCGTTGGGGCAGAAAAATTCTCGAATGGCGACCACGGGCTGGAAGATGTAGCGTGGGCAGGCCTCCTACCAGGTGGACCGACGATCTGGTAAAGGTCGCGGGAATAGCCTGGATGCGGGCAGCGCAGGACCGTGCATTGTGGAAAACCTTGGAGGCGGTCTTTGTCCAGCAGTGGACGTCATTGGTTGAAACGAACGAACTTTTTAAATACATACATAGTAACACCCAGACCCGTCACAGAAATTAAAATTCATCATTTCAATTTCTGCCTGGGCCGGGAATCGAACCCGGGACCTTTCGGCATAGTAGTCCGTTTTAGAACCACTACCTGTGCCACTACACCAAACGGCCGACAATATTGTATTGGCCGATATTGTAGGAAAGATAGAGCTACTTTGTAGTTAGTGTTCCTGGTGCAACGTTTAGGTACCTACATGACCAAAAGTTATTTAGTTATTATTTACGCTTAGGCGGATGACGTGCGAACGCGAGATTTTATACCAAAATTAATTTAAACTATTACTCATTTTAACGCTTGAAACAACATGGCATGAACTTTATGAGAACTCATTTTACTCCTGCGTGCAAGAGATGCCCATAGCCACTTCAGCTTGCTAATCCGTCGGGCTAGCTATGTCAGCGACTTTAGTTCGTTTACGGATCTCCTCATTTCTGTTTCGATCTCGCAAAGAAACACCAAGCATAGCCCTCTCCATAGCACGCTGTGCAACTTTGTGCCTCTGTATAAGGCCTATAGTGAGAGGCCACGTTTCCGAGCCATAAGTTATCACTGGTAACACACATCGGTTGTAGACTTTCGTCTTCAGGCATAGAGATGCGGCACTTAATATTTAAGCCCCGTATTTTTAGGGTTCCGTAGTCCTGACAAGGAACCATTATATGTACTTAGTTATATGTCTGTCTCTCTGTCCGAGGTTTTGCTTGGAAACTATTGGCATTAGGGAGCTATAATTTTGAGGACGTATGTACTCGTGGGTATATTAATCATTCCAACAAAACAATATAATCAGACATCACTTTAAGAGTAATAGTAGGTAATTGCTTGCTTCTGAAATATATTGTGGTAATGACGGACAACTACGGAACCCTACACTGCGCGTGACACGACACGCATTTGTTTTTATTCGAACTGCTGGATTTAATTACTGCCGTTATAATAAGTTATTTCAGGCTGAAACTAAAAATTTAACATTACCTGAATATAAACGCGAATTGCGTAATCAGATAAGTTTGGCGTCTGGTCTAGGTCATAAATCTATCAAAATTATGTAAACCAAATAGCACTTTACTAAAATTGAACGGGATTTGTTTTAACTGCGCGCAAAGTAACTGCGCGTTTGTATTGAAACGAATAAATATTTTGACATGCTCTGAAGTTTTAGATGAATAGATTGCATTCCAATCTGATTCTTGCAGATATTCCGTTCGATAGGTAGGTACCTAGTTTGAGGAAAAAATATACCTAGGTACTTACATATATACCTAGCTATACCTAAATTGATTGATGAGGAAGATCTTTACATTAACTTTTAGTAAATACCTACCTAATTAATAGGTAGACATTTTCCCTTGTGGTGCTAAATTAATTTATTCAATTTTGATTTTGAAAAACTTTTTTCTAAGTCTTTATTTATTGGGATTTGGGGCCAGTGGCGGGCACAAGGATATGATGATAATGATGACCAGGAGTTCGTGGTGATAAACAAGCAATATAATTAAAGAACACAATCCGAAAGCGTTGTTATGCCTTGTGCTAAAATCATTCGCTAAAATTGGAATTGGAAGTAGAAAGAGTTTATTACACGTTCTACTCGTCATCCACACATCGATAGGAAATGCTAATGAAAAGTTGTAGGCGTATCGATCAAAAGACTAGTAGAGACAAGATGGAATAAGTTTATAAGGACCTACCTACTCATCACATCACTGAAGAATTATTTTGAGAAACTTGTATCAACACTCGAAGAATGTGCGATTCCAGCAGCAGCGGAGAAAACGTCGATACAAGAGAAGCAGCATCCATACTCTACCCAGCAGCTTTGTGTGACTTCATTTTTTACCCGACTACGCAGAAGGAGGGTTATGTTTTTCGAGTGTTTTTTATTTTATTTTAAGATTTTTTGGAAAATTTACAGCTAAATGTTACATTAAGTAATGTTTATACAACGTGTCCCAAAATTCAAGGATAAGCCGGCGCCGCAGGATGGACATAATCATGACTACTTTAGGAAAATTAAGAAAAAAAATGTAACTTAATTATTTTTTAAGTTACACAATAAATTATGAAATTCGTCGAAAATTTACACCCCTTATGATATTTTAGATAGACAAATCCAACGAACCTAAACACGATAAGCTTCCGCCATTTCGTTTAGGAGTTCCTATGGCCAGCTCCTGGCCACCTCTTGACTTTATCATCAGGACCCTGGACATCATCTTGCACTAAAGTGCTAGAAAAGACAAATCCAACGAACCCAAACTAGATGCGATTCCGCAGTTTCGTTTAGAAGTTCCTATGGCCACCTCCAGACTCCATCCAGCTCAATGGTAGGTACTATAATATTGCATTGTCATCTTACTTACATAAGTATACCAAATCTCAGCTCAATTGGTTGAGGAGAACTTGTTTCAAATTCAGTTGCAAGATTTATCTCACACAAACTAACAAGCGAAGTGCTTGTACTCGTAAAAATGGTACGCATATCTTTTTTGTGACTAGTTTTCTTAGAGTATTATACCATTTTGGAATCATGGATAGTTGCGTAAACTTTATAAAAAACTTGCCGCAGTAGTGTTCATACTTTTTTTTTTACAAAACGACGAGTCAAAGTGGTGTGAAAGTAAAAATCGTCGAAAATTTTAAGGAGATAACATATTTTGATTAACTTTTGTGTAAAAACTGCAAGGATTCTGGGGGTTTTAAGAGTTGGGGTGGACAGCAACACTACTTAAGTTGCCGATACAAACAAAAAACAGAAATATTTTAAAAATTGTGGTCGTGGTAATGTAAAATATCATAAGGGGTGTCAATTTTCGACGAATTTCATAATTTAGTGTGTAACTTAAAAAATAATTAAGTTAGATTTTTTTTCTTATTTTTCCTAAAGTAGTCATGACTATGTCCATCCTGTGGCGCCGGCTTATCGTTGAATTTTGGAACACGTTGTATATAATTAAAGTAAGGCCAATTAAAAGTTCCCACCTATAGTTATACAATTAATTAATTTTATTGCGGACAGAAAACGATGTTAATTTATGAAGTTCAAACTACTATTTAACAAAGAAAAGATTATTAAATATTGTTTTAAGTATGTATGGTATATTTCTTTGGCACGGCCTACAGCCTAAACCGCTTGACCGATTTTAGCGTGAGAGGTGTCGTTAGATTCGTCTTAATCATGAGAGTGGTTATATCAAAATTGAAAAAAATCAAAATGGCGGATTTTAGGCGCCATAATCAAATACATATTGATGCCTCCGACTGCATTTGTGAACACTAAGGCTTGTTTTTATCTTTTTAGTTCATTTTTACGCAGTTGGGTTTTTTGTTTATTCAATAATATTTTTATTTAGTTGTGAAGTCCTAGAAGTTAATCAAAAGTTTGCGCACTGTGCAAACGTCTGGGCGAGCTTATCGCTCAAAAAGTAAATCAAAGCCCTAAAAAACTCAATGAATCCAAATATGTGGAAAAAGCTATTTCTACGCAACTGCAAAATGTGGGGACTTGGATTCAACGGAATTGAAATAAGAGGAAGGAGATTCCGAAAACGTAAGTACCTACATACTACTTACCTCTTGATAGATTTTTTTATAACTAAGTTGTGTGTTTCGGTGGCTTCTTGTAAATGAAGTTTCTCAAAATTAAAGTTGATAAAATCTTACTTTACCTACATCTACAATGATTCAAACACGGATACCAGTATTTCCTTATTGTCCGTATAGGAACGAGTTATAGTAGGCTAATGAAACAAAACAGTGCAACATTAGTTTTCAAATTATTTTGAGTAAATTCTCAGTAAAGAGCCACATCTTAACGGAATTTCAAGGGAATGGGAGGAATCATCTATCATCAATCGTTTATTTAAGTATAAAGTCATTACTTACGAAAAATTAGAACTAACGATTTTTCTGTATAGCATAATGCCTTTGCCTATTCCTGCAAAAAGAAGGTGTGATACTTGTTAAGTTGGTCTCGGGGTCGTGAAATAAGTTCGTAGGCACAATTCGATCATCAACAAGTATATTGTCAATTTAACACAACGAAATGTACATGAAACTTGGTTTATATCAGTCAAAACAATATCTAAACACCAAAATACTGGGAGAGTAAAATAGCGCGCGTCGCGGCCATGGGCGGACTGGCAATAGTGGCAATAAGGTCGATTTTAGAAAAGACGCCGGCGACCGTTGGTGAGAGCGCGCCGGCAGAGCGCGCGAGCCCGTGAGTTACGAAATAAAGCCCGCCAAATTCGAATGCGAGCATTAACCACAGAGGTCGCGTTACAAAGGGAATTATAAAGAATCGAACCCCAAAAAAAAAAGAAAACTGTCAACGTCAATCAGTTTTATGTCAAAAGTTTGACATTATCAAAATGCATCCTATATACTTGTTTTGAATCTAAGTTTTAATTAATATTTTTAAATATAATGGATAAATGTCGATTATGTTTGGCGACGAGACGAAACGTGCGTTCAGTCTTTGATACTGAAAATGATTATTCTCTAAAATATGTGCACATGATAACTTCTATAGCCAATGTAAAGGTAAGATTATTTTAATTTTTATCATTACTTTATTTTATTCAAAATCAAATACATACATCTTGCATATATTTAATCATTTTACCAATAGCCCATTGACAAAATATTTCTCTTTTATGTGGCATTTAATGTTTGGCCTATGTTATTTAGGTTAGGTAGGTACTACAGAATCTAGGGTAGGTCAACATTTTTATATTTACTTTTTTTGAGCCTCGCTTAAAGTCATACTCGTACAATTAGAATATTTCTGGATATGTAAATCAATGCTGAACAATGTAGTGCATAATTATTAGTATTTAATTTCTTAGATTCATGAAGCAGACGGAGTCACAGACAAAATATGTCTTGCTTGTCGCAAAAAACTGAAGGAAGCTTATGACTTCAAAGTGCAGATCGAAAAGTAAGTAAATATATTATCATCATTTAATCTTCATTTTTCACACATAAAAAAATCATCAGTGTGTTTTTTTATTTAATATTTACCTTCAGCTTGTATAAAATACTCATTTATCTGTAATCAGATCAGATGCAGAGCTTCAAAATACAGGAAATGGGAGAAAAATTAACTTTTATAATTTAAAAGATATTAAAATTAAAGTAGAAATAGAGGTCCCCAAACATGAAAATAATATTGATGAATACTTTAAAGATGGAGAGACATCCATTCATTACAATGATACAATAATAAAGAAAGTGGATCCTGAGGATTGTAATACTTATATAAAAAAAGAAAACGGACCCCTGTCTGTATTAGACTTTCTTAATACTATCAAAGAAGAATCAGAAAACGAATTCAATGATGTAAGTGAAAATACAATTATTAGAGCATTTAATTTTATAATCCACAGTTCATTTGATTCAAATGAATCTTTTTTGCAGGATTATGATGTAGATTATGAAGCAATGTCTGATGTAGATGATGATGATGAAGAATATCTTATACCTCTAAACAAAAGACTAAAACAAAAAAAGAATAAGAAAAAAGTAATAAATAAATCAACGCCAGCAAGTATGTTACTTATATTTACATATTGTGTTGACAGTATTGATAATTAAGTTGGTTAAAAGCAGTAGTTACCCTATGTATTCATTAAAGAAAATTACGCAATCAATTTTAGAGGAAGTCTTTTAAAATAAATCTGTAATAATATATTGCAGTATTTTTATTTATAGAATATGTATGATATGCTATGTACTAACATATTTTAATTTCATTTTTTATTATCTTTTTTCAGCTAATAAAAAAGTGCCAAAATATACTCCCGTTCAAATAAAGCCTGTATATTTGAAAGATCTCAGGGTATTGCCGACCAGGAATGACAAGCCCAAAATTAAAAAGAAATATTGTTATGATAAGAAAAAATCAATGTGTAATGTTTGTGGCAAAATGACAACCTGTATAAACAGTCATATACTGACCCACACAGGTGATGTTTTATTTGTACTAAAGCTGTTAAAAATCTTAAACTAAGGTACATTTTGTTTTGATGATCCTTAAAATTATAGGTTGTTTAAAAACTCACTAACTTCCTTTCGCGTCCCACAGTCGCGTATAAATAAAGGACTGTTTTATACAATATTTATAGTATGTTTTATAATTACAGGAGAGCGATCCTTCAAATGTGAAGAGTGTGGAAAAGGATTTCTGACTGCAAACTGTTTAAAATTTCATGTAAAGTACAGACATACCACTGAAAGAAACTTTAAGTGTGATAAATGTGTTGCTACATTTGCTAGTAAAGAAGCCCTTAAAGGGTAAATTATTACTGTTAGAATTTTGACAATATTTTCTTAACTCTGTTTGTTTTTAATTAACCTTTTCTTTTTTAATTTTATAGGCATATGGTACGACATACTGATGAGAAATCACATGTATGTGATATCTGTAATAAAGGATTCAAAAGAGTAAGTAAAGTTATAACTTTGCAGTTTGCAGTATGGTTTAAATTCAGATTTCTTTTAACATTGGTGTGAATATAAAAGTACAAGCTGCATTCGTGCTTACCTATATTATAGTATTATGGCAATCTTGCAAATTAATAGTCCAACATGTTTGAGTTAAGTTTATTTGATAGCAAAATAAAATAATATTAATATCATTTATATAAAATTCCTGATTATTTAGCGCTAAAACCTGAATAGTCGCTTTTCGCTCAAGAGTTGAATGTTATGAGTCCATCTATGTCTTTATTTGCAGAAACAGGCATTGAAGCGACATAAATTAATCCACAATTTAGCCAATAAACGCGTCAAATGCGATTTATGTAACATGTCATTTTTTAATAAATTTGGTTTAAATCATCATCTCAGAATTCATACTGGAGAAAGACCATACAAATGTGAGGTAAATACTTAGATATTATTATAATAATGTTAAATGATTAATGTTCCATATCTGGGGGCACGGCAGTGCCCCCAGTCGAGCAAAAAAGCGGCACGGCCGTACCATCCTTTTCTCGAAGCAATTCAGGCCATTTTCGACCGCCTGTAACTTCGTTGTGGATAAAACTAGAAGGCTGAATTTTCATTAACTATGCAGGCATTGTAAAGACACGGTATATTTAAAATTTCATTCAATTTGAACCAGTAGTTTAAGAATTATAACGGGTCAAAGTTACTTAATTTTGTCACTCACTGACTCACCGATCATCAAAACTCTAAGGCACTTCTAGCAGACCTAGAAGCTTCAAATTTGGAATATAAGTAGTGTTTGGTGTATGAATCAAGGAAAAACTAAAATATTTGGGGGCACGGTAGTGCAACCGCCAAGTCGAGTAAAATTTTTCAATTTCGGTCCAGTTTTCTAGATACATAACTGCTGTCTACAAAATACAAAAAGAAATGAGATCCCATCAAAAACAATACTTGTCAAAAAAACCAAGTCTCGCAACTCAGTTGTTCTACGGTAAAAAGTTGTGAGATCCATGTAATACCAAGTCCAGGCCAGGAAATCTTTAACGTTTTACATAAATATATTGACTTGGCCATCGCATGAAAACACGTGTAAATTAAATTATTTAGTGCGATGGCCAAGTCAATAATTTATGTAAAACGTTAAAGATTTCCTGGCCTGGACTTGGTATTACATGGATCTCACAACTTTTTACCGTAGAACAACTGAGTTGCGAGACTTGGTTTTTTTGACAAGTATTGTTTTTGATGGGATATTTGTGTACACCTAATCAATAACGTCATACATGTTCCAGATTTGCTCCCAGCCATACAGCTACAAGCATGACTTCAACAGGCACTGTTTTAAAAAACACGGAGTGTTTCTCAAAAGACGCTCTGTCAAAATCATGAACGAAGAAGTGTTACAGAAGGAGCGCGAGCTGATGCGCGACCTCATGCTCAAAATAAATGGATATATAAAAGAGGGTGAACCTCTTAATCCTTTCGAGGGTCCTCAAGGCTATTTGGCTTTTGAACAAGCCGTTAAAGCTTTGCAAGCTAAACAAATTCCTGTTGATTTTCATATTTAAATAGTCATTCCTTTTCACTGTTACATACATTGATTAATAAATATTTTTCTAAATCATTTATGTTTTACATACTTACATTATTATAAAATGACCTATGGATTTGGCGCCCAACGTGGTGGATCGTTCAGTGCATTAGCGCTGGTGTAAACTGTTGCCATCGTATTGAATTACATTATACATAGATTATGATAATATATTACTTTACGTAGTATTTTTAAAGAATTATGCTTGAATGTGCTAGGAACAGCATCGTTAAAGTAGGTACCATACTAATTCACCATCAAGCCAATAATATCTTAAAATATATTTTGTGGATTATGTGTGGGTAAACATCAACAACATGGACGTCAGATGGCTATTGTTTCTCACCCGTTTAGATAACGAAAGCATTCAGGTATAAATAGTAACAGTATCAAGTTGCTAATGGATCTGCCTTTGTGCTATCAATCAAAAGTAGGGGAGGTTTCCTATATAAGACGAGGTGGTAAGTTTCTACGCATTAGTATTTCGAGGTTCCCGAAGTGAACAGTGGCCAACATGGTAAGATTATTTTATTTATAAATATGTGCTCAATACAATATTAACGATTTCCTATTCATCAGTTTAAAATAATGTCCCATTTCCAGATTACTAGATCTTTAGTAAGGCTACTTGTATGTTGCGGGCTGTACATTCTAGTACAAACACTGATGCCCAAAGTATTAGCAATGAAAAGGACTTCAGACATTGAAGAGTATATGATCGGCGAACAAAGAACTAGAAAGAGGCAAAACTATGTAGAAAAAATGGGCATAGAAAATGAATTTTTTGAAAATGTTGACGAAGTCGGGCCATCTTACGACACGAAACTTGTAGAATCATCTAAAGAACAATTGCCTGCATTTATCCTAGACTATGCTAATATGATACGAAATGATATCATTCTATTAGACAATTCTGTTGAAACAAGAACTCGCAAAAGAGGAAACATCAAAGTTGAAAAACACAATGTGAGTACAAATTTTTNTTTTTGCACAAGGCTAAACAAGTCTCTGTTAGAACTTAGAACATGGATGAGGCTTTGTAGAATCAAGCTAAATTATAATAAAGGAATTTATTTTTACAGCATGCGATACCCGATCCGCCTTGCAACTGTGAGCACAACGTAAGTAATCAATATTCTTTTATTGTGAGCCGGGATGTAAGGCCGACCATTGCCATTGCTATCTCAATTAGTAGGCCCGAAGGACCGACCACGCGAAATCTAAGGGCGCCTTGAGAAGGTCTATTCTATCCTTTGATCACCCATGGAGTCCACATTGATCACCTAGGTGATTTTATCCATGGGCGATCAAAGGACACAAGTTTCCCCTGGAGACCACTTTGTGGAATAGACACTTAATATGAAATAGGTTTTAAATTATACTATAGTGCCGACTCTCTTGACACCATTGAGCAAGGTCATGCCATCTTTATCAGGATACCCCTCTACTGCACAGGCTCTCTAAGAATATGGTTTAGGTACATGACTCTCTGTGCGACACTGAACTTTTTGTCTACAATTGACTCACTGAAATGGATTTTTACGTTATGTGCACAATCCGATAACCTGTTTATTAATTATTTTTTGCAGAAGGATATCATCGACTTGGGTGAAGACTACTACCCGCGGTTTGTCGAAAATAGAACTTGTAGTAAACAAATGTGTTCCGATTTCTACATGTGCCAATCGAACTTATATGAGGTTCGTTTTTTATTATTTAAGATATTTTATTATTAATCATTAATTTAGCTACCTAATTAAATCAATGTTATTTGTTTGTTTTAGTTAACTGTATTGAAAAAGAGGATTTCTATGCAAGAATCTCAAGTAGATTTACCAAGTGACTTGAGACATCGTTGGGTGGCCGAAAAACAAATCGTGACTATTGGATGCGTGTGCACTAAAAATTATGGCATAAATGGTGAACATTAATGTTTATAAAGACCTCCAAAACAGACCTTAGTGTGTGACTTGAATGTTATTGACGAGCTTTGTAAATTATAGAAAATCACATTTATGATTGCTATAAGTTAGATATAAAAATAAACGACTTCTTCATTGGTAATTGTTTTATTTTAGAACCAAATGTTACATTATATTATAAACTACATATTATTCTAATGTAAAATATCCAACGTCATTATCCCATCTGGTTTGCACATATTGAAAAAAATTCAAGATACGAAAAAAAACCTCACCAAAATATTTGAATTCAGTGTAAGTTTATAAATTAATAAAGATAAAAAGGTGCATATAACATTAAACAAAAAAATTGCACCAAAGTATTATGAGAGTGAGCAGGTGTTAACTGGCTGAACCTTTTTATAAGCATGCCTTATAAGACACAATGTATTTACACTTAAATTCAGAATAAAATAACATCCTAACTATACAACCATTATTGGCTGTGGTTCTGAAAATTCTGAACAATAAATAAAATAATGATGCATAATACAGGCCAAAAACATTCCAAATGGCATTTTATTGATCATAAACAGAACTAGGTAATGAACCTAAAGCAGGACCCCGATTGCGCTAATTTGTAATGTCTCCAATTAATTCGCGTTTCATCTCCAATCACGCTCCAATATCATTCCAGCTGATGTGCAATTCAGTATCGCGGTAAAGTTCACACGCTACACGGATCACGGACGAACGGATTTATATACACTTTTCAATAAACGTCCGAACACTTTATTTTTAAACTAATATTGCAAAAAGACAGCAAATTAACCAAATAAACCATTTTTCTTTCTTTCTTTCAAATTTTTGTGAAGCGTTTGAGAAAGTTGCTTTGTGTCATATTTTTACACAAAGGTGCAGTTGCACTCCGTTTACGTGACGGCTTCGTTTGAACTAGCTGTCAAAACGATACCGCGGTACGGATTTGTGCAAACAGCTGAATTTCGTTCGTGTTCCAGTCGCGTTGCAGTTGAAAATGATTACCGCAATCGGGGTACGTAGCAGAAAGCGTTTTGACAGCTCATCTATGATTTGTGACGTCATGTACGCCTGCCGCGCCACCCCTATCACTGAATACGAATAAAGTAGATACGATCGTAGAGGAATTTGAGGAAATCTATACGATTTACATATTACTGTCAATTTACACTTGTTACAAAAACGTCATGACCGTGCCAAACCAACGCCATCATGATTGCGAATGCCGTCAGCTCTTGCATGTGAAGCAAAAGTCCATTACAGACTAACTATTAGGACTGTCAGATGTAGTTGACCGATTCGATGCCAAGATTAAAAATTCGGTTACTGCTGCGCCGAAACCCCCACAAATGTTTGATAAAAACAATAAGTTCATAATATAAATAAACATTCATACGTAAGCTTTGCTTAATGTAAAATAGAAAAAAGTCCAATTTTGCCTTGTTTGGGACAACATGAGGCTATGTAGTTTCATGCCGACATCACCGTAATTGCACTCCTCTGAATATACCTAGTTCGAACGCACGTCTGTACTGGTTTTAATATCCGAATTAAATAACGCTGAAAACTCGATTAAATCTCAATCATAAATTCTATCTTGATTGGTCTAGATATTAAATTAAACAAATCACAAGCCTCAATCTATGCTTGAATTCTTCGAGTTTTAAGATTCGTCCTAGCGTTGCAGGACCATCGATAAATATTTCACAATCGACAGTCGACCTCGAAAAATATTCAGGATACAGATAGTATCGCAATATATCGATACAATCTATAGTTATACTATCGACATTATTGCAAAAACGTTAATGGTCTTATCGATGCCCCGGATATACTGGAACGTTTAAAATTTGCCGTACCTCGTAGTAGCAGCCGCGTGCAAAATCGAAAGACGTTTTCTATCCCTCCGTGCAGGACTCGACTCGGTCAGCACTCCCCGTTACATCGCATGTGTACTTGCTACAATTCTATGCGTTTTGTCTTTGACATCTTTTTTGGTTCTCTCGTCTCCGCCAAGCGCCGTATCAATACGGCTATTCTTGATTTAAAATAGTCTAAAATTAGTCCAAATTTTGTTTAGTTCTGTGTAAATGTAAGATCTGGTTTATCTGTGTAATATTCTTAGTTTAAGGTGGTTTAATTAATTATTTTTATATGCATGCTGTGCTTACATCGAGTAGGGTAAATCAGTATGAATTGTTTTTTCACTCATTACTTACTTTTGCATGATATTTGATTGTACCCAGTTTTGTTAAAGCCAAATAAAAAAATAAAAAAAAAACTGTCGGAAATAACCTTAAATTCGACTGCTTGTTTAATGATCTTAGAAATCAGAATCAATAGTATTGCTCAAATAATCCTGTCAATAGTATCAATACTTTGCACATGACGATACTATCGATACCATATTTTTTTGTTGACTATCGATCGGTAGTGGACTACCGATAAGCAACACCACTTCGTCAGTGGTTCCGTGTTAGCCGCTGTACTCAGCGGCAGGCTGCAAGTCGAGCTGCGGCATGATGTACCTACGCGAGTCTCGCTGCCCAACCCATGTTGCGGCAAAGCACCTCCACTGTCACCTTGTGACTGGAAATTCAAGTCGATGCCATCATAAATGTCTCTTTTTGATTTTAACCTCCTCAATAGATAGTATCTATAGTTACTTCTGTCAGTTTTTGCAGTACTATCGATAGTATCAGGCGTAAAACTATCGATAGTATCAATACTATTGCACATGGCGATACTATCGATACTATGATGTTCTTGACTACCGATAAGCAAGACTTTTAGCCGCTGTACTCGGCGGCGGGCTGCGAGTCGAGCTGCGGCATGATGTGCGCGATGGCGGCGCGCGTCTCGCTGCCCATTCCCATCTCGCGGCGCAGCACGTCCTCCGTGACCGTGTGGATGGACTTGAACTTCAGGTTGATGCCGTGCACCTTGTACACGTGGTTGTTGAGGTTCACCTTGTAGCTGAACGCCACGTTGCACACCTGCAAGCGGAGAAAATCTGTGATGGGACTGGAACATTGGGGGCGTTTGGCCGAAAATAGCGCTAGTAAGAAAAATGGCGTTCTTTTGGCGGTAAGTACTGTCACAGTCAAAAAAATGTGTGGGAATACGTCACTTTTGAAGTTTAGCAAACGTGTCCAAACACATCCATTGATGTGATATGCTCTTTCTTAGTTATGACTGAGGGTCTGGTGAAAATCAACTGATCTATCTGAAGTTAAGCAAAAAAGACACAGCGCAGTGTACATAATCAAACGTTGGTGAAACCCATCCGAAATTTTAGGTACGAGAATGATGGTAAACGGCCCCTAATGAAATAAATGTAAAAAAAAGTACTACTAATTTCCGCCATATTGATTTTCAATATCAATATCATCTATTCATACAAACCTCAATGATACTGCAACTGTCAAGCCTTGAAAAATCACATAATATGTAATTTTACCCTGTTATTTCAGAGCCCTAGCATCGGAAATGTTGTCATGTAATAGTGAAAAGCAGGTTAATAATAACATAACGCACTGCACGCACATTTGAAGCATCACGGCATCACTTGGTTATTTAGCAACATCTATCACTAAGGCTGAGTTGCACCACCTAACTTTAACCGAAACTTTATCCGGTGTATTTTGTATAGAGTTTGACAGATTTTTGACGTTTTTTTAAAGTCAAAGTAAGACGGTGCAACCCAGCCTAAGACTAACCTCGCAAGAGTATGGCTTTCGACCCGTGTGAACGAGTTCGTGGTTTTGCAGATGGTGACTTTGCGTAAAGCCTTTATTGCAGAACGAGCAGACGAACTTTTTGTCGCCCGTGTGTATTCTCATATGGCGTCGTAGGGCCGGCGCCTGGAAAGAAACGCACCTGGCATGTATACGGGCGTTCCCCGGTGTGCATCCGCTCGTGATTTTGCAACTGGTGCTTCGCATTGAACGACATCGTGCACGTGGCGCACTTGTACGGTTTGTACCCAGAATGTATGCGGAGGTGCCGGGTCAAATCGCAACGCTGAAATATATCATTCGCTCTTACATTTGGAGCCTACGGATGTAGGACACTGGAGATTTATCAACACACCAATACGTAATTTAAGAACTCAAAATATCATGCATTTTACGAGGTTCTTCAGATCTATAATATTTTTAATAAAAACAAATACCATTTGAGCTTCAATAGCACAAACATTAAAATATTAACTACTAATAAATTACGATAAGTTATCCATTCCAATGAAAAATAATTATAAATATAATACAGTGTCAGATACTTACGGCAATAAATCTCTTATGACATAGGTGGCAAGGGAATGGTCTTTCTCCCTTATGTATTAGATTGTGTCTGTAAAAAATAATTAAAAATTAAATAGATATACTAGAGATAAAGCTTTATGTATGTATATCTTCTACTTCATAACTGCATCAAACTGAGTTTCCCTGCGTGATCGAATCAGAAATGAGGAGATCCGCAGAAGAACCAATGTAACCGACATAGCTCGCAGAATTGCTAAAATCAAGTGGCAGTGGGCGGGGCACATAGCTCGTAGAGACGATGGCCGTTGGGGCAGGAAAGTTCTCGAGTGGCGACCACGGGCTGGAAGACGTAGCGTGGGCAGGCCTCCTACTAGGTGGAACGACGATCTGGTAAAGGTCGCGGGAAGAGCCTGGATGCGGGCAGCGCAGGACCGTTCATTGTGGAAAACCTTGGAGGAGGCCTTTGTCCAGCAGTGGACGTCATTTGGCTGAAACGAACGAACATAACTGCATCATACTAAGTACCTGACTAAAGACTTCTGACTGTAAAATCCAGCTCCACAAATCTCGCAAATGTGATCTTTCACCCCAGAATGCTGTTTTGCATGAGCCAGCAAATTGCTCTTTTGCGAGAAGGTTTTCGAACATTGAGAACATGAAAACTTCTTTTTCTCTGCAACATAAATGATTACTTTGTGAGTACAAATCCATTGTCAACACATTCCAACACAGAGTTGATCAAAATAAAGAAAATTAGGTTATTGGTTCATCAGATTGCATAGTTTAGTAAATTAATAAACATAGTTGATTTACCTTGATGTGTTGCAATATGATTTCCCAGTGTGAAGGTAAGAATACCACACACAGGACACACAAGCTTTTCTCTTTGTCTCACAATGGGCTTGGCAGTCCTCACCATCCGGACTGTCTTGTCAGTGCGACGCACAACCTTATTCTGATCCGAAGATGCAGGTGTTGCTCTAACTTTGTAGTTAGGATGTACTTTAAGAACGGTAGCATCTTTTGGTCTCTTTAGAAGAATCGGTGGACCTCTAGTACCATTCTTCATTATAGGATCTAAAAATAATGATTCTATTAAACCATAGGCATTATTAGTTTTTAAATAAAAAGTGCTATGATAAGGTGCTCCCACACCAAACTTATTAATACACTAATAACATAACAAAAAAGCTATATCAAAATAAATGTAAGAAAACGTTTCAAAAGATATTTAAAAAGATTTATAATTAACTTTGGTTTTGGAACACCATTATACTCACAGCAAGTGATCATTGTGGTTTTTGTTTTACCATCTTCACTTCTGCCTGGTTCATCAATCTCTTCTTTGATCTTCTTAAGAACCTTTACTTTTCTCACAACAGTTTTCTTGCCCTTGAACACTTTTATTTCAGATAGTTTTGGCTTCTTGAATTTAGTTTTCTGTTTTCCTGTTGGTGGCACATAGTCATCATCATCGTCATCTTGGAAAATATCATCATCCAGATATTCAACCTACAAAAAAATTAATGTGTATTACTAGCTAGTCAGTTTTAAAATAATTACAATAGAAGATAGAAACACACTTACATCATTATCACTCTCCGAGCTTATTTTTGTAGATTTCCAAGTAAGATCAACTTCAGTGCTGACCGGGGCACTTCTAGGTTCTTCGTTGACATCAACCTTTCGGATTACAGTGTTAGCGATAACTATATCCTTTCCTTCGATAGTCTCAATAGGTTTTGTGTCAGCCAAGACGTCAATTTCCATTTCCCATTTTGGCTCACATTTTATATTCAAAGGTCCAATTTCACTTTTTATGTCAGTAAAAGAATCAAATGCAATTTTCTTTGTTGGAACTTGTTCGTGTGCTCTTGCCAACATCTTTCTTAGCTTCTTATCAGTTCTAGAATGAATATGTACTTGTTTAAAAATAAAGAAATAATTGATGCATGTTTGTTCAAGTATAAATCACTACTCATTTATGCTTACCTTTCTGCAACAGTTTTGAGCAGATAAGCTTTCTCCAATGCATTGCAACACTTCTGGCATATTCTGTCCGGCAAGCCATCACATGCAGCCACCTAAATATACACAAATACTTTAGTTTGCATGAAAGTAATGATTAATTATTAACTTGTTCTAATAAAGCTGTGGTGATGAAATCTTGAGCTATTTTCTCTAGTTTGTAGTAATTATGGGTTTAATTCATGAATGTAGATTTTTCATCAAACCTCAAAAGATATGGTTTTATTACTTACTTTTACATCAGCAACTGCAGTAAGCATTTCAGCGTAATTCCCGGACAATTTATACTTGAATAGGGGACATAAAGGTTTTTTATTAGACAAACATATTCGACATGATTTCATGTCAATAGCATCACCGGGATCAAGCATTTTTACTAATTGAAGTGATGACAACAAAACTAAAAACAATAATATCGAAGAACGGTATGTCGATTAGAAAACACTACATCCACCACTATTATTTGCTGCGATTTACTGTTGCGTCGCTGCACCACCTTTTTGATCTCTACGCTTCGCTGTTTTCTCTTCACCTCACTACGTTCTTGTTCCAGTGATTGTAAAAAAACTCTTGTTACAAATTTGACAAAATATAAATAGAATAATGTACTGAAAATGTCAATAATGAAATCAAAATTGGTATTGAAATCAAGGTGAGGAATAGCTTTCGCTAAATGGAACACAACGTNAATATAAGTAAATAAAATAAAAGAAAATTAAAATCTTCTTTCAATTGATAGCATCTTAAATTACCTCCCTAGCGGAATAGAGCAACAAAGAACTGAGCGAGCGAGATGTCACTAGTAGCAACACTGTCAAACATAACTTTTTGCAACTATTTGAAGTTTAATAACTTTACGGATATCATTGATTGTTTTACTGTCCAGTGTGTTTTTTGATTAGGTACATCATCTCATCTCACAGTTTGTTTCCTGTTCTCGAAAATTTCATAATCAGTTCACATTCAATGTTGCGACTTTGTTGCAATTTTTAGTATTTTGACGATCACCCGGCGATGATACGCAAGTATTAAAATAATTTCACTTCGCGATTAACGAGAGGTTTTGTCGCATCACTAGTTCACAGACTAAAAATTTTTTTATGTCAGTTGGCCATTTTTGATGACATTTCTGCTGATTTCTAAAAAATTAGACTGTACATAAAGTTAATATTCAGGAATATTAACTTTATGGTCTCCTAATACTAAGAACACACTGTTAAAAAGCTTTTGCATTAAGAAAGTGAGCAACATGGTTATTCAACTTTGAACAGAAAATTCTCTGGAGTTTGTTCATAAATTAAATATAGTGGCAGTGCCATATTTCAAAATAATGTAGTGCAATGGAATGTTGTAGGTTTTTTATTATAGTAGTAGTATATAGTATAGAATTCCTAAATTATACAAATTGCCGGTAACATAATTATAAGCGCAAGCAACCGGTAATTAAAGAATACGCCGACCGGTATTAGCCTTAGGGCAGTTTTACAAGAGTGATTGTGAATAGCTCCGGTTATAGAATTGTCTATGGTAATGTATAGTTTATCTGCGAAGGCATGCGCGATCAAATGTCAAAAATTATGATGGTTACAGGAAAACAGGGTTGAATAATTTATTTTAACTTATTTTGTCCGTGTATTAAATAATTTATGAATAACAGAAACGTTGTCTCGTTTTCTTACACTATTGTAAATTGGTAATATTTATAATTTGGTAAGTCCACGACCCGTGTGATAAGAGATGATAAAATGGCCTACGAGAATTGGTTGAGTCGTAGGAAAGGTAAATAATCCTCTAAAGTTTGATATTTGTGCAAATTCTTAGAGAAATCTATGTGATAAATATTCAACTATTAAATGTTTCTATAATTTACGTCTTCCAGGTAAACAAAGCGGCAATTTATTTAAATTGGACAGCAACAAAAGTAATGAAGAAAATATAAAAGAAATTATTCAAGGGCTATATCTAAAGAAACCTTATCAAAATGATGTTTCACCTACCAATAAAAATGTACAATCAGAAATTAAATTAGGCCTCCGGGGCATGCCAAGAAACAGTTCTGACAGCCGCAGATTGTCCTACTTAAATGCCTTAGTCACACTTTTATGTAAGGAAGATAGATTTAATTTGGGATTCACTAGTGATGAGTTAATGACATGGTGAGTACATGGTTATTTTAGGAGCCGCAGACAAATTTATGTGAAAATTATAAAGATGATGCTGTTAAAACCTTATCAGAGAAAGCTTTTGAACAGAACTTTTCACTTTTGCAATCATTCCTATTAGTAATTTGATAGTTTCAGTAGTATTTTGACTGCTTTTTATTGATCTAGGATAATATTCTTTATTTCTTGAATATTATATTGAAAAAGAACATAATCTATTAATGTTGTGTTTTGTGCACCTATACAGGGCCCCTTCTGTGTCAATTGTTATATGTAATCATAAGGCTTGGCTAAAACTTACACTTTAATTCTTACAGTATTCGAGTAAGCTTAGTGGATGAATCTATGGTAGTAAGAGCAGCAGGTTTGAGGGTCTTACGATATTTAATAAAGACTGAAAGTGACGTAGCAACTTTTAATACACTAAAGTTGCAATACCTTGTCACTAGGTAAGTTTTGCCTATCTAAAATACATTTATTTGTCAAGCTATGAAATATTCATGCTTGAGTTAGAAATAAAGATGTTAAAATTTTTATAAATTTTAATTTGCATAACTTTAAATCAAAATAATAATATATGTAATATTTATTTACTTATAAAATAATGATCTGTTGAAGAAGGTCAAGCTATATTTATTTTTCTGTATCAGATCCATAGACCTGATGCTTCGTAATGAGGAAGAACGAGCACAAGCACTTCGTGTAGTAAGAAGAGTGGTTGCTGTGGTGGGTGCCGCAGTAGGGCAATCCATGTTGCGTCATCGAGCGGTTTATGTAGACCAGGGCTTACTGCGCTGTCTTATTGCTGTCACACGCTCAGGAAACACCGGTGACGGAACAGGGGACAGGCTATCAAGACCTGCTATAGCAACCCTAGCAGAAATATGTGAGTACCTAGCTGTTTGTAAGCAGACTGATGAAAAGTTGGAAATTAATGTTGTAACAAATTAATTGAAATTAATAAATCACTTTCAATGCCTGATATATTATATTTATTTATATTAGTTCTATTATTTAAAAAAAAATCCTGTATTTAGAAGTACACATAATGTACATACTTATTGATGTAGAATTACATAGGCAGTTAGGCATAGGCATTTAGTACTAAATCTCCTGGATTTCTCCTCCTGTGGAAATCAAAGAATTTCCAGTGGAAGCCTTTGTCTAACAGTGGATGTCATGGCTGAAACTTATGAACGAACAAATTAAATATCCTTATTTTCTTGCAGGTGTGTTAAATCCAGAATTGTTCATTATGTGTGGGGGCGTGACGGCGGTGACACGCCAGTTGGCCGAGTGCGCCACTCCCCGAATGGCCGAAGCCCTCTGTGGGGTGTTGCTGCACACGCTAAACGACCCCGTCTCGCGGTTCGCGGCGAGAATCGACCTCACGTGTCTCAGCTCTCCCTACTGCGACTTCCATTTTCGACCAGCGGGGACTGACACTAGCAGGTGTGTGGTATTTTATGACATTTTTGAAAAGAAAGCCGATTTCTGCATTGCCTATTTAGGCTAGCGAGAGGAGCATGCCTGCGAATTTTTAGTCTATTTATTTATTTATTTTTGGAAACTCAACATCTTTGTCGATAATTTACATGTTACAAAGTAGTATTTACATAACTCTAGCCAATTACAAAGTCTCACAGCTAATATAAGTCTGTAGTCAATGCCATTTAACTCTCACCCAAGCTAATGTAATGGTTGGGTAGTTTGTTAAATGTAGGTAGTTCAAACTACGAGTGTGAGTGAAGGCCGAAGGGACAACCGACTGAAACGGTAGCCTACGACTGTTACTTGACTTTAGGCGATGTTTAAACATTAATTACATGAGACCGAGACAGGAACCTGATACCTAATGCCCGTTTTCACCATTAATAATCCTTATTTTTTAAGTGACCCCTAGTGACCTAAGTGCCCTAACAATCACTACATGTACATTATCTTGTTTCGGTTACGGCACTAAAGTCCGGTTGCCGAGCAGATAGAATTTCGTCCAATGACCCCAAGCTACTTATTCTTATCGCTCGCGTGTAATTATATTGCTGTCGCGTTCGCACACTCACTGCCCGTCGCACGGTCGCGACAGCATATAATTACGTGCGAGTGATAAAGATGGGTAGTTGGGTAGCTTGGGGTCATTGGACAAAATAGGGATGTTTCCTGGGTAAAAAAAGCAAGTTTTAATTAGTCCGTCAGTTAGCTTATCAAAAACTACTCGGCATGTATTTTTCACTTTTTAAAACTAATGAAAATGTAAAGAGAAACCGTGCCAAAGTTCTAAAAAAAAGGCCCGTGACGTCAGTGAGTGCGTAAAAGTGCAGCACTTTGTGACGTCGCGCGGAACTTCAACGCACTATAACTTTGTAAGCATTTGTTTGATTGACAATTAAAAATATACGTGTCCAATATTTTTTTATATTAAAATTGACGGACTAAAAAATTTTTTTTAGGAAACTACCCTAATCCGGAGTTCAACCACCACCTAATATTTGTTGTGACAGAGACGAGCGCGAGATGCGCTTCACGTGCAGCCGGCTGGCGCTGCTGTGCGCGCTGCGCAGCTGGCCGGGGCTGCTGCACTTCTGCCAGCCGCGCGGCGCCGGCCTGCCCGCGCTCGTGGCCGCGCTCTATCTGCCGCGCCTCGAGGTCCGAGTGAGTACGCACAGTTTATACTACGGGACTATTCCCACCTAGGGTTTCCAAAAACACAAAAGCCGGACTCTGTGCTTCATTTGGCCGGACATTTTACCCTAAAAGCCGGACATGTGACGGGGGGGGGGTTAGTTTCATATAGATTAGTGTCATAGCTCATCGTATCATCAGTTGCCCAACATCCTGATGCGTGCGCTTCATATTCTGTGTCTCGACTTTCGCCTGGCGCGGCAGGCTAAATAAAAAGCCTGCCAAAAGCCGGACAGGCCGGACAAGACAATATTTGGCCGGACAAGACCGTAAAAAACCAAACATGTCCGGCTAAAGCCGGACGCCTGGCAACCCTATTCCCACCGCTGCAACTCCTGTGCAGCCAGGATCTACCAATAAAACCCAACCAGTGAAGGTCAAGTTTGTCCCGGGGAAGTTAACTGTCATTGGACCCGCAAATTAATCAGAAGAACATAGGAGAAGTTCGAAGACTTGGCTATCTGTCTCCGCAGCTCGTGCTGGGATCTCGCTTTGCGTGAGTGGGATGGCAACATTCGAAACTTCCGGTAATCTTTTTCTGAAAAACCCCGCTTACTCGCAGTTTTTAGGGTTCCGTAGTCCTGATCCTGAAAGGAACCCTTATAGTTTCGATATGTCTGTCTGTCTGTGCTTGTTTCAATATCGATCATTAATTTCATAACCAAGCCCTGGGCAAGTTACAAAAGTGGGTTATTCCAAGGATGGTGACGAATGGGGAGTTGTGAATGAAAGTCAAGGGGGATAAGTGGAATAAATAACCCCAGTTTTAATTTCCAAATCGCTTCATGGAAAGAAGTAACTATGTTATAGCCTGACCAGGAACATAAAAACCCTGGCATAGAGGCGCGTCAATTGCATTTGATAGTGCAACACTGAGTACAGTCGTACCTGTGTTAAATTAATAGGCTAACTTTATGTATCAGGATTCAGGATTACGGGCTAATTTGATATTTTCATAAATTAACGAAAAAATATTATTATAGGTAGCCTGGTTTATATAAATTAAGTGAAATCATCAATCGAGCTAGTAGGATATATTTTATTATTCATCAATAATCAAATTCAGAACTTTAATATTCAACTGCAATGTCTGCTCATGAACGCTTCAAACTCGGTACTTCTTTCCCAATTCCATAAAATTGAACACTTACAAAGTGACAAAAAACTTTAAAATAGGTGGTTGAAACAAACCACAGCTAATTTTCATAATAGACTGTACTATATGATAAACATGTCAGTCAATTTGACAACCTTTGTCGGAAACATTATTCAATGAAAATATTGTCCGAACCCTTAGTATTTCTCTTCGATAAATACTTTAACACATTGTGAACCACTTTTCTTTCACGACTATAAAAATATTTTAGCAATTTAATTCACAAAATCAATTGCGCACATTTAAAATAAAGTTTTGTTTACACTTTAACAGCAATAGACTGACATGCAAGGTGACATGTCAATGAAGTTTTCAGTTACTGTTGCCATTAAAAGAAATTAGTACCATTAGTTTTCCGCAACATGGCGAGGGTTTTTATGTTCTTGGTCAGGCTATACATGTTTTGATTTTTTTCTTTTTCTGGTTTTAATAAACTGACAAAGCAAATGTCATTATTTTCTAGTATTTTCTGCATAATTTTTATTTGGACCTTGATTTCATTACAGAAAGCTATACTGGATTTGCTGTATGAACTAGTTGGATTGCCACAGCCAGAATGGACAGATGAGATTTCGGTAGCTCTAGATGCTGTAGATCCATCTGACTTCCAGGTATGTAATATGAAAAGCAGCTCACCCGAAAGAAGTTGATATTTAAAAAAGGTCTTCGTTATTAATTATTTTTTGTGTGATTTTTTAGGATTCCTGGCGACTAAACGAAGGGTTTGTTGCCGCGGAAGGCACTGCCATACTACCCCATCTAAGCGCTACTGGACCTGATATTAGTGAAATTCATCTCGCTCTATTGCTTCAGTGCTTTTTAGAGGTAATTCAGACCCGTTTATATTACATACTTACTACACATAGGTACTTTTGTAAAATATGTAGGTACTTATTGATAATTTTTCTTTCAGGCTGGATTATTAGACGGGTTAGCCGAAGTTATCGTAACGAGTGACACGTTTATATCAGTCAGAGCGACTGTGTTACTAGGCCAACTATTACATTTAGTTCATTTATTCGTACCATCTCAAATATGTAGCGTGACGCCCGCATTACCGTCGCTGATGTCTCAGGCGTCGGCGGGCAAGCCGCAGGCACTTGCGGCCATCGCTGCCTTACGCAGGCTCCACTCGATGCTTGAAGCGCGACCGGCCAGCAGCAGTTTGTTCCTAGACCACATCATACAGTACTGCAGCGGCGCGTTCAAAGAGAAAGTCGAGGACACCACCAAAAGCAGAAAGGAGAAAGACAACGCGAACATGGCGAAACCCAAAAACGACAACGCCCTGCACAAAGACAACAGCAGCGAGTTTCTTGACTACTCGGACAACGAGAACGAACCGAAGAGGCATAGCGTCGGCTCGCGCGCAGATGTCTCCAACAGAAACGTCAGTGCGTTAGTGAAAAGCAAAAGTGTCAGTTCTCGGACTAGTGCGGCAGTGAGCAAAGTGACTAAATCGGCCAAACTGAACAGACTCAAACTCTTCGAACGGGACAGCGATAGTTTAATTCGAAACACGTTAGTGATGCAAAACAAGGACGGCAACACTTGGGATTGGGAGATAATTCGGACTATATTGAAGGTATGGTCTACTCACACTACGCCGCCAGTTCGTTTAGGATTATTTTTGGACAGTTGTTTGGTATTGATTTGTTGTGTTTTTTTAAGGAAACCGACAGTGCTCCGTTACTGAATCTGAACGACAGTGGTCACAGGGCGTGGGTGGGGCGCATCATCAACTACCTGAAGCCATCATCGAATAAGTATTCCCACACCGACCTGTCGACCACGGGCCACGGTCACTCGGCCACGCGGGCTGGTTGCCAGCTGATAAGGCATCTATTGAGGCATAATGATGTGAGTTATGTTGAACATTTTTTTTATATAATTTAATTACCTGTCTTGTCTGGAAAATAACTTTTAGGATCATAACCCACCACCACCCATGGTTCTTCCTGCCTCACGGCGTACGAACCGAATCTCGGAAGAGCGCGCGGGTACATGCTCTGGGCTCTTTTCCCCGGGCGCTTTGCTTGACTCCATACAAATTTCTCTGATCCATGTCCCTTCTCATAGTCAATTCTCCCCCTTCTGGGGCTGGACACCACAAATACGGTACTTCGCGTCGGGCTGCTATCGTTGATAAATGTCAACACTTCTTCTCATAACTTCGCCTGATTGTGTGCCAGGAGTGCGCGAACTCGCGCAGCGCGATCCAGTTACTACGACTACTCGTGAGGTCCTGGTGATAAACAGGTCCTTGCTCGGCTCTTCAACTTTTAGGATCAATGTAAATAAAATCTTACTTCTTACAGCCTGACTGCCACAGGATGCTAGAGGAATTGTTTTACGACGTGAGCCGTCAAATCGAAGCGATCGAAACCGGCATCAAAGCCCACGGCTGCCTCTTCAGTCCTCAGCACATGTGTAACACGATGTGTCAGATGTACTTCCTTTTCATTGGGCAACTATGCCACTCGCACACTGGCCTAAGACTTTTTAAGGAGACTAGGTTGTACGAAAAGTAAGTAACAGTAAAATGTTTGTGAATGAACAATATAAACTGAACCTTATTATGTACAAATAATGCATATTATTGACATATTAGCTTTGCATGAATATGTTACCTACACTAATAAAACACAATGTTTTCAGTCTGTTAGAACTATCAACGAAAACACACCACAGTTGCTATGTAAAGTTAGTTATATCAAGTTTAGACTATACCCTGGATTCCTATCCTCGCGACATTCTTGCCAAGACCCTAACCTGCAGCATCCAAGCATCAAGACTATACACGACACAGTTCCTAAATGTGTTGCTGCGGGCGTCACGAAAGTCGCACGATTTGGTTCGGAGGAAGACGAAATTGAAGAAGAACTTCATTCAAGAACAAGTGAAGCCGCCGCATAGAGACGACGGCGATGTTAACGTCGGTGTGGATATGGACACGTGGATATTGCAGATGTTGGTTGGACAGGTGAAGGATGAGTCCAAACAAGTTGTGAAAACGTCGCTAGCCATTTTAGAAGAAGCCTACAGTGTGCCTGTAAGTAAATAACCTAAATATGTAATGATTTTATTGATAAAATAAAAATAAAATAAACCGTAACTGTCAAAAGGGCGCATAATTGGCGTAATAACCCCCATGTTGGTACCCGCTGAAAACCAGCTTCGTGGCTTGACGACTTGTGTGTGTCATGTCACGATTTTCGCTGAGCGGGCGCCTTTTCAGCATGGCTCAGTAATTTAACCTCTGTACAGTGTACATGTATGCACATAAATGTTAATGCTGAATAAAGGTATTCTATTCTATTCTATTCTATTGAATTCTATCACGCTAATGTTTCAAGTCAATTAAGAAACCGTGAAATTGAGATAAAAGTAGTTGATGGTTGTTAAAACCTTTCTTAATAACGTAAGATTATCTCTAAGCCTGTAGGTATACATCATATCTGATTAAAATAGATTGATTTAAAAACGAAGATAAGTTTTAATTTTTCTTTTGGTCACCCAGGTTTACTTCGACAAGCTGATGTCGATGAAAGAGGTGCTCTGTCAGAACTGCAGACTCGACAAAGCGGCGGAGCCGGGCTCGCTCGATTTCGCAGCGGTCGGCGACAGAGGCTACCTGCTATGGCTTGGGCTGGAAGTGGCCGCAGCCTCTCACACCTCTGATGTCAAGTCTGTGGCCTTTCTGAAGAAACACTTGGAGTTCTGGACGAAGTTTTATAACTACAGGTAATTACATTGACACCAATTTTTGCGGCTTCACCCAAGTGGCTTTTGGTCGGATACAGTCTATATTTCACGCTTATCTCCCTTAAAAAACGGGTCTCAAACATGAGTTTAAGCGTGAAAAAGTAATAAACATCCTATTCCTAGCTGTCCTTTCCAAAATCATTAGAATTGAGCGCTGTAAAATAGTACAATCAGTACAATCTCATCATTTCATATTGAGAAAATGTTCAAGCACGTGAGCAGCTTTCGTAGGTGAACAAATCCTTTATTTTCCTTTAGAGAACGACTTGCTCCTGCAGTGGAGACTAAATAAATGACCTTTATTTGATAGTGACCGTTATATTTTAGTCACTACAAATACGTGTGTCTATAGTCTTTTTCACGTAAGATGCTCCCTATGACACTTCAAGGTTATCCATATTACGCATACTACATATGCAGAATATTTTTGAAAAAATATTTGTATTTTATTAGCAATATAATAAAAAAAAAATAACTACTTGTCTTGAAATATAGTATAGTAAAATCTGAGTCTATTGATTATATTTTAATTAAATACGATGTAAAAATATTTTTTATTTAATGTACGCAATGTGTGAAACGGAATAGATTTAGTGCTGGGGTATTTCTTGTATAATACAATCGATTATTTCCGCGGGTCATTAATCGATTGCAGTGAATAATACATCACAGAAATCAACTATATTTTTCGATTATTGACTAATAAACGCATTGAAAATAAATGAATAGTTTTTAATTTAAAGAAACAGAATCAGTGCTTTTTAGGAATCGTTTTTTTGAACACGAACCATGAAATTTGAATATCTATATACAGGGTGTCCCGTAATGTAACGTCAAGCCGGAACTGGGTGTTGAGGCAAGTTGTGCTGGTTATCAGAAAAATATAAAAAAAAATCTATGTGGCATATTTTAAAAATAATAGGCATTTAAAAAAAAACAAAAAATTCTACTCCAGGTGACGGTCCTTTTGCTCGTGTTGCCACAAATCTTCACTTTTTCCAAATTTTTTTTTTGTTATGTAACCCTGAATAATGCTTATCTAAATTGTTATCAAAAGTACAAAACCAGCTGCTCCAGCTTGGATGAAAAAAAATACATTATTCCCAAAAAAAATTTCAAAATAAAATTTTTGCCTTGTTTAAACTGTAAGTACTGAAAAAAAAATGTACTACGCGAGTGTGGCAAGTGACGTCATAATTTGGCGCATTTAGTACGGATTCCAAAATGGTATAACACTTGGTAATTTTTTGCTGTAATTGTCGACAATTTTTGTTTTTTTGGAAATAGTCCCGTNTAGTAGTGCCTTCGTTACAAGGACAGTAGTAGAAACCACGCTGCTACTATGGATAAGTCTCGCCGTCAATACAAGGTTTGTATCATTATCTACGGTCAATCTCAGCTTTCTATGGTCAGACTAGGCTCATGCTATACAGCCAGCGTGCACGAGGCGCTAACTCTGAACGAAGCGGCGGGTCAACGTCCTGCCCCCCGCGCCCGCCGCCCCACCTGCACGCCGCGCTGGCTGCGCGCGCGCCGCCCGGCCTAGCACGAGCTTTGTTAGCTACCGTGCTGCCCATGCATTATAAGGTCAGTCACCAGTTGCTAGATAAATAAATAAATAAAAAGTATTTATTTCGGATAACAGGGATCCATAATGTTAGTAAAAACTTAGGCTATGTTAGTATCTTATTTCTAAAACAGACTTCGTCCTGCTGAGCATGTGGCCGATTCGTGGACAATCCCCACTATCGGCTATCTCCTTCAGTCTCCTATAGTCCGGTCGCCGAGCACGTAGAATTTCGTCCAATGACCCCAAGTTACCCATTCTTATCGCTCGCGCGTAATTATTGCGTCGCGTTCGCACACTCACTGCGGCCGCCCGTCGCACAGTCAAATTCTACGTGCTCGGTAGCCGGATTTTACCCACATGACGTATTGATCAACAAGAAGTTAGTAGTGCCCTCGTTACAAGGACAGGAGTAGAATCCACGCTGCTATGTATAAGTCTCGCCGTCAATTCAAGGTTTGTATCATTATATACGGTCATTCTCAGCTTTCTATGGTCAGACTAAGCTCATGCTATACATCCAGCGTGCACGAAGCCCTAACTCTGAACGAAGCGGCGGGTCAACGCCCCGCGCCCCGCGCCCGCCGCCCCACCTGCACGCCGCGCTGGCTGCGCGCGCGCCGCCCGGCCTAGCACGAGCTTTGTTAGCTACCGTGCTGCCCATGCATTATAAGGTTAGGCTGTAGCTAGTTAAAGTCCGGTCGCCGAGCACGTAGAATTTCGTCCAATGGCCCCAAGCTATCCATCCTAATCGCTGTCGCGCTCGCACACTCACTGCGGCCGCCCGACGCACAGTCGCAGTTCGCTACTCATACATGTATTGATCAACAAGAAGTCAGTAGTGCCTTCGTTACAAGGTCAGGAGTAGAAACCACGCTGCTATGGATAAGTCTCGCCGGCAATACAAGGTTTGTATCATTATCTACGGTCAATCTCAGCTTTCTATGGTCAGACTAGGCTCATGCTATACAGCCAGCGTGCACGAAGCGCTAACTCTGAACGAAGCGGCGGGCCAGCGCGCCGCCCGGCCTAGCACGAGCTTTGTTAGCTACCGTGCTGCCCATGCATTATAAGGTTAGGCTGTAGCTAGTTAAAGTCCGGTCGCCGAGCACGTAGAATTTCGTCCAATGGCCCCAAGCTATCCATCCTAATCGCTGTCGCGCTCGCACACTCACTGCGGCCGCCCGACGCACAGTCGCAGTTCGCTACTCATACATGTATTGATCAACAAGAAGTCAGTAGTGCCTTCGTTACAAGGTCAGGAGTAGAAACCACGCTGCTATGGATATACATCGGCATCTGTCTACCGAGGGACCTAACGGAGCTGTTCCCGAGGTTAGTGTATGTTGATGATGTTATAGCTTATACTAATGTGACTGGAAGCCCATCGGGTCGGACGCGGGGCGGGAGTCGCCGGCGCGGCCGCGGCAGAGGCGAAGCCACATGGCCCCGCCCGCGCCCCGCCCGCCGCCGCCGCCCGCATACATCGGCATTTGTTTACCGAGGGACCTGACGGAGCTGTTCCCGAGGTTAGTGTACATGGATGATGTTATAGCTTATACTAATGTGACTGGAAGCCCATCGGCTCGGACGCAGGGCGGCAGTCGCCGGCGCGGCCGCGGCAGAGGCGCTCCAGCGTGCCCCCGCCCGCGCCCCGCCCGCCGCCGCCGCCCGCATACATCGGCATCTGTCTACCGAGGGACCTGACGGAGCTGTTCCCGAGGTTGGTGTATATCGATGATATTATAGCTTATACTAATGTGACTGGAAGCCCATCGGATTGGACGCAGGGACGAAGCATGTCCCCGTCCGCCGCCGCCGCCGTCAACATAATATTGGCATCAGTCTACCGCGGGACCTGATGGAGCTGTTTCCGAGGTTAGTGTACGTCGATGATGTTATAGCTTATAGTAATTGTTCCTGTAGCCTATCACAATATGACTGGAAGCCCCTCGGGTCGGTCGCGGGGCGGCAGAGGCGCTCCAGCGTGCCCCCGCCCGCGCCCCGCCCGCCGCCGCCGCCCGCATACATCGGCATTTGTTTACCGAGGGACCTGACGGAGCTGTTCCCGAGGTTAGTATACGTCGATGATGTTATAGCTTATAGTAATATGACTGGAAGCCCATCGCATTGGACGCAGGGACGAAGCATGTCCCCGTCCGCCGCCGCCGCCGCCAACATAATATTGGCATCAGTCTACCGCGGGACCTGATGGAGCTGTTTCCGAGGTTAGTGTACGTTGATGATGTTATAGCTTATAGTAATTGCTCCTGTAGCATATCACAATATGACTGGAAGCCCCTCGGGTCAGACGTGTGGTGGCAGAGGCGCTCCAGCGTGCCCCCTCCCGCGCCCCGCCCACCGCCGCCGCCCGCATACATCGGCATCTGTTTACCGAGGGACCTGACGGAGCTGTTTCCGAGGTTGGTGTATATCGATGATGTTATAACTTGTACTAATGTGACTGGAAGCCCATCGGGTCGGACGCAGGGCGGCAGTCGCCGGCGCGGCCGCGGCAGAGGCGCTCCAGCGTGCGGGCCCGCCGCCGCCGCCCGCCTACATCGGCATCTGTCTACCGAGGGACCTAACGGAGCTGTTCCCGAGGTTAGTGTATGTTGATGATGTTATAGCTCATACTAATGTGACTGGAAGCCCATCGGGTCGGACGCGGGGCGGCAGTCGCCGGCGCGGCCGCGGCAGAGGCGCTCCAGCGTGCCCCCGCCCGCGCCCCGCCCGCCGCCGCCGCCCGCATACATCGGCATTTGTTTACCGAGGGACTTGACGGAGCTGTTCCCGAGGTTAGTGTATGTTGATGATGTTATAGCTTATAGTAATTGTTCCTGTAGCCTATCACAATATGACTCGAAGCCCCTCGGGTCGGTCGCGGAGCGGCGGAGGCGCTCCAGCGTGCCCCCGCCCGCCGCCGCCGCCCGCATACATCGGCATCTGTCTACCGAGGGACCTAACGGAGCTGTTCCCGAGGTTAGTGTATGTTGATGATGTTATAGCTTATAGTAATTGTTCCTGTAGCATATCACAATATGACTGGAAGCCCCTCGGGTCAGACGTGTGGTGGCAGAAGCGCTCCAGCGTGCCCCCGCCCGCGCCCCGCCCGCATACATCGGCATCTGTTTACCGAGGGACCTGACGGAGCTGTTCCCGAGGTTGGTGTATATCGATGATATTATAGCTTATACTAATGTGACTGGAAGCCCATCGGGTCGGACGCAAGACGGCAGTCGCCGGCGCGGCCGCGGCAGAGGCGCTCCAGCGTGCCCCCTCCCGCGCCCCGCCCGCCGCCGCCGCCCGCATACATCGGCATCTGTCTACCGAGGGACCTGACGGAGCTGTTTCCGAGGTTGGTGTATATCGATGATATTATAGCTTATACTAATGTGACTGGAAGCACATCGGGTCGGACGTAGGGCGGCAGTCGCCGGCGCGGCCGCGGCAGAGGCGCTCCAGCGTGCCCCCGCCCGCGCCCCGCCCGCCGCCGCCGCCCGCCTACATCGGCATTTGTTTACCGAGGGCCTGACGGAGCTATTTCCGAGGTTGGTGTATATCTGTCGCAGNCGTAGAATTTCGTCCAATGGCCCCAAGCTATCCATCCTAATCGCTGTCGCGCTCGCACACTCACTGCGGCCGCCCGACGCACAGTCGCAGTTCGCTACTCATACATGTATTGATCAACAAGAAGTCAGTAGTGCCTTCGTTACAAGGTCAGGAGTAGAAACCACGCTGCTATGGATAAGTCTCGCCGTCAATACAAGGTTTGTATCATTATCTACGGTCAATCTCAGCTTTCTATGGTCAGACTAGGCTCATGCTATACAGCCAGCGTGCACGAAGCGCTAACTCTGAACGAAGCGGCGGGCCAGCGCGCCGCCCGGCCTAGCACGAGCTTTGTTAGCTACCGTGCTGCCCATGCATTATAAGGTTAGGCTGTAGCTAGTTAAAGTCCGGTCGCCGAGCACGTAGAATTTCGTCCAATGGCCCCAAGCTATCCATCCTAATCGCTGTCGCGCTCGCACACTCACTGCGGCCGCCCGACGCACAGTCGCAGTTCGCTACTCATACATGTATTGATCAACAAGAAGTCAGTAGTGCCTTCGTTACAAGGTCAGGAGTAGAAACCACGCTGCTATGGATATTAAGATTTAAGGTACAATTCCAAGACGGGCCGCAGACCGCAAACTGCAACCGCAAACTGCAAAACTATGAAATCGGCAGCGCGGCATTGCAGCTGCGGCGTGTATACTGCAGATTTCATAGAGTTTTGCAGTTTGGCCTTTATCCGAAACTATCCGTAACTTTTGAATCAGTTTCGGTTACGGTTATGGACATTTTTTTATTTCGGATATCCGATAGTTTCGGTTACGGTTACGGATATCCATAACATCCCTGCTTGGTAAGATGGCCCTCTCCGTCCCGCTCATACCTTTTAAAATGGCTTCTCCACCTCACTTAAGCCAGAAACTTGAATTTTGGGCACATTAGAATAATATTTTTAACCAAGGTAGATAAAGTTAAAAACGGGATTATTTCCAATAAACAAAAAATTGTCGACAATCACAGCAAGATTTTACAAAGTGTTATACCATTTTGGAATCCTTACTAAATGCGCCAAATTATGACGTCACTTGCCACACTCGCGTAGTACAATTTTTTTTCAGTACAGTCAGTTTAAACTAGGCAAAATTTTTATTTTGATATTTTTTTTGGAAATAATGTATTTTTTTCATCCAAGTTGGAGCAGCTGGTTTTGTAATTTTGATAACAATTTAGAGAAGCATTATTCAGGGTTACATAACAAAAAAAAATTGGAAAAAGTGAAGATTTGTGGCAACACGAGTAAAAGGACCGTCACCTGGAGTAGAATTTTTTGTTTTTTTTTTTAAATGCCTATTATTTTTAAAATATATGCCACATAATTTTATTTTTATATTTTTCTGATAACCAGCACAACTTGCCTCAACACCCAGTTCCGGCTTGACGTTACATTACGGGACACCCTGTATATAAAAATGAAACCCGTTTTCCGTTGTCACGACATAACATGAAAACGGCTTGACCGATTTGGCTGATATTTTTTTTGTAGTTTTCTAATACTCTGTACAAGGTTTTTACGGAAAAAAATATAAAGAAAATCTCTACCCTTAGGCGGTACGAAGTTCGCCGGGTCAGCTAGTTATCAATAAAAAATTGTTACAATGATATTTGTAATTAAAAAAAAAAACATGTTTTTTGTTAAATAACACCTAAACAAAATAATTCTCTAAAAGTAGGTTTTACTAACTCTTCGAAAAAAATCGATAGATAAATCGCTATGGTTTAGTTATGTGACATCTCTAAATCTTTCAAACTCCAAACGTCATAGGGATCATCTTAGGTGAAAAAGACTATAGTGGAAGCTAAAGTCCAGTCGCCGGGCAGACAGAATTTCGTCGTGCACGAAGTGCTGACGCTGATTGAGGCAGCAGTAGAGACTAAATAAATGATCTAATGATGACATACTTGTTCACTACAGATACGTGCGTCTAGTGGAAGCCAGCGTGCACGAAGCGCTAACTCTGAATGAAGCGGCAGGTCAACGTCCTGCCCCCCGCGCCCGCCGCGCCGCGCGCCCGCCGCCCCACCTGCACGCCGCGCTGGCTGCGCGCGCGCCGCCCGGCCTAGCACGAGCTTTGTTAGCTACCGTGCTACCCATGCATTATAAGGTCAGTCACCAGTTGCTATAAATAAATAAATAAAAAGTACCCATGCATTATAAGGTTAGGCTGTATCTAGTTAAAGTCCGGTCGCCGAGCACGTAGAATTTCGTCCAATGACCCCAAGCTACCCACCCTTATCGCTCGCGTGTAATTATATTGCTGTCGCGGCACACTCACTGCGGCTGCCTCTTGCACAGTCGCAGTACGCGCTCAGCGACCGTACTTTAGCTACTCATACATGTATTGATCAACAAGAAGTTAGTAGTGCCTTCGTTACAAGGACAGGAGTAGAAACCACGCTGCTATGGTCGTCTCGCCGGCAATACAAGGTTTGTATCATTATTTACGGCCAATCTCAGCTTTCTATGGTCAGACTAGGCTCATGCCTATACATCCAGCGTGCACGAGGCGCTAACTATGAACGAAGCAGCGGGCCAGCGCGCCGCCCGGCCTAGCACGAGCTTTGTTAGCTACTGTGCTACCCATGCATTATAAGGTGAGTCGCTTCTGCCGTATCTGTGTACAGTTTTGTAAGCAAGAAGTTCGTAGTGCCTTAGTGACACAGGGTCGGGAGTAAAAAGCACGCTGCTGTATGGATTTTGTCGTCAATACAAGGTTTATGGCATTGTATAGACAATCGACCATAGGGTCAATTTCAGCTTTCTATAGCCAATCAATCGTATCGTATCGAAACCCCGCACCACCACCTGCACGCCGCGCTGGATGCGCGCGCGCCGCCCGGCCTAGCACGAGCTTTGTTAGCTACCGTGCTGCCCATGCATTATAAGGTTAGGCTGTAGCTAGTTAAAGTCCGGTCGCCGAGCACGTAGAATTTCGTCCAATGACCCCAAGCTAGCCATCCTAATCGCTGTCGCGCTCGCACACTCACTGCGCCCGCCTGTCGCACAGTCGCAGTACGCGCTCGGCGACCGTACTTTAGCTACTCATACATGTATTGATCAACAAGAAGTTAGTAGTGCCTTCATTACAAGGTCAGTAGTAGAAACCACGCTGCTATGGATAGGTCTCGCCGTCAATACAAGGTTTGTATCATTATCTACGGTCAATCTCAGCTTTCTATGGTCAGACTAGGCTCATGCTATATATCCAGCGTGCACGAAGCCCTAACTCTGAATGAAGCGGCGGGTCAACGCCCCGCCCCCCGCGCCCGCCGCACCACCTGCACGCCGCGCTGGCTGCGCGCGCGCTGCCCGGCCTACCCATGCGTTTTAAGGTCAGTCGCTTCTTGTTGCTAACTACCCGCATAGATTGACCGAAGCTGGATACAGATATGTAAGCAAGAAAAGTTCGTAGTGCCTAGGAAAGCACGCTACCTTGACAATGGTCAATCTCAGCGTTCTAGTCAGATTCATGTATAACAAATCGTTCGTCAAATGCCCCACGCCTTGAGCGTGATTTTGACCTTACATATTTAATTAAAACTATCAAAGATCATTCTTAAAATGTTTGATTACAGATATTACAACGCCAAAAATGTGCAACCGAGCAAGAGATCGTTGACCTGAAAGCGTCACTTTGGGCAGTAGGCAATACCGCAGTGACCCCTCAGGGTTTACAGCAGCTGATGAATCTGTCCAACAACTACTTAGAAGACTCAGTCCCTGTGCACATAGTCCGCTTGGCTAAGTACAGCCCTGTATACTCAGTTAGGGCCACGGCGTTCTATGTGCTCGGGCTTATAGGCAGCACTTATGACGGAGCCAATTTGCTTGCTGAACTAGGTAAGCTATTTAACATTTAATCTTTTTTTACACTATTACGAGTATACATAATTATTTATGCTGTAATTCCTAATAGGTTGGCTTTGCGTGAGGCACACACGACACGATCAGTTTCCCGTGATCCCCGAAGAGTTTTATCCAGCTGTATACGACTCGAGCGGCAACCAATACTTCGTGACCTCACCCGATCGCCGATTCAACTACGATGCGGATATCAGCGAACACTCCGACCACACAGACCAAAGCACAGCAGAAAGCCTCCACTCTGACATAACGAAACACCTCATCAAAGTTGGATCTATACTAACAGAACACGCCGAAGTGAAAGATATCGATGTAGTAGACTACAAAAGCAACTTCACGATCGAAGGTCGAAGGGAGCCGGATAAAAGGAAATCTCACACTTTACCCACTCAAGGCTGTAGCACGTCACACGACCGTCCGATGCTCTCCGAGTCTCGGACTGTAGATATACTGAGAGACTGTTTAAATTATGAAAGACAGAACCGGCTGCTTATAGGCAGGATGAACTCCCTCGAATATGCCCACGAAGGTCGCGTCAGGAATACCAGCGAGTCCAGTACCAGCGGTGTGAGCAGTTGCGATTCGTTCCTTGGGAAATATGCTATTCCGTAAGTACCATAATGATAAACAAATCTTATGACCTTTATCAGCTATAATAAATGCATAATTTTGTTAATATTATTGCAGTGATAGGATCTTGACTCTCAGTCCTATACCGAGTTCATCAAGTCTATACGGCATGAAAAGTAATAGCAGTTCACATCGCGCAAAGATATCTGAACTCCAACGACGGACATCTACCTCAAGTAAGATCCTACATTTATAATGTTTCACAATCTTTCTTAGAGTACTTTATTTAGATGCGATGTTACAATATTATTCAACATTTTTAGGTTTCACTGGTCCAGATGTGGCAAGCTCTCCGCCCAGTCAAGCAGACATAACTGGGTTTGCGACGCTAAAGTCTTTGAACAGACGGTAACTAAACACACCAATGCATTTTTGTAACAGGTTGTTTATAACTTTGGGTAATATAACCTTTTTATTTCAGGCCTCATTTATCGGAAAGTGCTGCAACTGGATCAAGTGACTTGGATGACTTGAGCTGGCTGTTATCAGAAAGCAACAGAAGGTCGAAACCGTTTTCCTCTCTCAGGGATAGAGCGAAATCTACAAGAGAAAGGATGACGAAGTTAAGGTAACCCTAACGCAGATGTATAAAATTCTAGATTATTCGAAACTATCGGTTTTGGTTTGTCACTCACTTACAGTGAGTTGCTGGTATAAGCAATAGTAACTATTTCGTTACTGCAGAGTAGCCCGCGGTTCCAAAATATAGCTTATTTGACTATCAACCAAATCAGTTAAAGTTTGGCTATGAATTGACATGACCCTAAACTACGGACTTTGACAAGTAGTCAAGAATTATCAATTTATCAGCACTGTCGATTATCGTCATGCCGTGCCATGCCTTTGAGCTATAGCTTCCTTCAAGCACGTGCTTCCTTCATTCTAACCTACCGTCTCTTACTTAACTTTGGTCCTGCAGCCTTCTAGAATACGACTGGAAGCCCCTCGGCTCAGACGCAGGGCGGCAGTCGCCGGCGCGGCCGCGGCAGAGGCGCTCCAGCGTGCCCCCGCCCGCGCCCCGCCCGCCGCCGCCGCCCGCATACATCGGCATCTGTCTACCAAGGGACCTGACGGAGCTGTTCCCGAGGTTAGTGTATGTTGATGATGTTATAGCTTATACTAATGTGACTGGAAGCCCATCGGATTGGACGCAGGGACGAAGCATGTCCCCGTCCGCCGCCGCCGCCGCTAACATAATATTGGCATCAGTCTACCGCGGGACCTGACGGAGCTGTTCCCGAGGTTAGTGTACGTTGATGATGTTATAGCTTATAGTAATTGCTCCTGTAGCATATCACAATATGACTGGAAGCCCCTCGGGTCAGACGTGTGGTGGCAGTGGCGCTCCAGCGTGCCCCCTCCCGCGCCCCGCCCACCGCCGCCGCCCGCCTACATCGGCATCTGTTTACCAAGGGACCTGACCGAGCTGTTCCCGAGGTTGGTTTTGCTTTCAATGGTTTGAAAACTATAAAAACAACAAAATTGTTGTCGTCTATGTAATATCAAACACATTGTTTCTTTAACAACCTATCGTTTACTGGTCAACTTATCATTTCGACGAGTCGTTTTTCCAGATTATAGACGGTGTTTGGGTTACATTGTATTGATTATGAGCTCATGGTGAATCTATTTAGTTCAGTCATGAATAAACATCATCATCATCATGATTTCAGCCACAGGACGTCCACTGCTGAACATAGGCCTCCCCCAATGCTTTCCATGTTGTGTCGCAGTCAGATTGTATAATCCGCCGTTTTACATTACAGCTAGGCATTTTGCATTACAGCTCTGTTTTGTAATACGGCGGCTTAACGTTTAGCCGGATTGAATACCGCTGAATGAAAATCCGCTGGAATGTATTCGGCGCCAAACGTTCTTCAATACGGCTAGCCGTAATGTAAAACAGCGTGTCATTACCCGCCGCTTGACAGTTTTTAGTTCCTATTTTCAATACCGTGGCGCTGACATGACATAACAACAACAATGGCATCGGATACAGAAATTGTATTGCTAAATTGCGCAGTTATTTGTGAATTTAACAGAGAAAACGTGATAAATAATTTGTCTGTCGACACTGGCTTTAAGAATAATTATAATGTGCAATTAAATAATTCAATGTGGAACAGTAAAACAACCGTGGACAAGGGAACGAGTTTTAGAGGTTATAACCCACATCAAAACAGCTAAAGTGCCTATGGATTCTGGTCGGCGGAATCCTACACAATATTATTAGTGTAAAAATATGACATTATGGCTGTGGCCGGTGAAGATAATTATTTTATCTTAAAGAAAAATAACCCAGAAAAAATGACTAAAACTTTATTGTTTTGAGTTACCTGTCCCCTGTGATCATTTTTAATGTCTAAAAAAGACTAAAGCCAAATATCAAATTAATTCTTAAAATGTTTAGAAAAGTTTAATTGTTTTGAGTTACTTTTTTTAGATGGCTATCCCTTGTGATTTATAAATAAGTAAAAAAAATACTGAAGCCAAATATATTATTTAGTATACAGTAACGAAGATAATAATTCTTAAAATCTGTCTTATTAAAATTTATTTTCATTAAACATAGTTTTATTTTGTAAGTATGGTCACCCTACAATCTAAATAGTAGTACGATGCGGCTAAACGTGGGCCACCGTATTGAAGAACGTATCGCAATGACAATCCGCCTAAACGTTGAACCGCCGTATTACAAAACAGAGCTGTAATGTAAAATGCCTAGTGGTAATGTAAAACGGCGGATTATACAATCCGACTGCGACATATCGATGATATTATTATTATAGCTTATACTAATGTGACTGGAAGCCCATCGGGTCGGACGCAAGACGGCAGTCGCCGGCGCGGCCGCGGCAGAGGCGTAGCCACGTGCCTCCGTCTGCGCCCCGCCTGCCAACCGCCGCCCGCATACATCGGCATTGTTTACCGAGGGACCTGACGGAGCTGTTTCCGAGGTTAGTGTATGTTGATGATGTTATAGCTTATACTAATGTGACTGGAAGCCCATCGGATTGGACGAAGGGACGAAGCATGTTCCCGTCCGCCGCCGCTGCCGCCAACATAATATTGACATCAGTCTACCGCGGGACCTGATGGAGCTGTTCCCGAGGTTAGTGTACGTTGATGATGTTATAGCTTATAGTAATTGTTCCTGTAGCCTATCACAATATGACTGGAAGCCCCTCGGGTCGGTCGCGGGGCGGCAGAGGCGCTCCAGCGTGCCCCCGCCCGCGCCCCGCCCGCCGCCGCCGCCCGCATACATCGGCATCTGTTTACCGAGGGACTTGACGGAGCTGTTCCCGAGGTTAGTGTATGTTGATGATGTTATAGCTTATAGTAATTGTTCCTGTAGCTTACCACAATATGACTGGAAAACCCACAAGTCGGACGCGGGGCGGCAGAGACGTAGCCACGTGCCTCCGTCCGCGCCCCGCCCGCCGCCGCCGCCCGCATACATCGGCATCTGTTTACCGAGGGACTTGACGGAGCTGTTTCCGAGGTTGGGTGTACGTTGATGATGTTATAGCTTATAGTATTTTTTCCTGTAGCTTACCACAATATGACTGGAAAACCCACAAGTCGGACGTGTGGTGGCAGAGGCGCTCCAGCGTGCCCCCGCCCGCGCCCCGCCCGCCGCCGCCGCCCGCATACATCGGCATCTGTTTACCGAGGGACCTGACGGAGCTGTTCCCGAGGTTGGTCTTGCTTTCAATGGTTTGGAAACTATATAAAAAAACAACAAAATTGTTGTCGTCTGTGTAATATCAAACACATTGTTTCTTTAACAACCTATCGTTTACTGGTCAACTTATCATTTCGACGAGTCGTTTTTCCAGATTATAGACGGTTGTTTGGGTTACATTGTATTGATTTCTCGAGTTGTTTGGGTTACATTGTATTGAGACCCGATGTCAACTATTTGTTTCACTCTCCAGAGAGGACGACGGAAAAGAGCGCGACGACGGCGAGGGCAAGCCGGACGGCGCGCGGCGCACGCGAGTACCTTCGTTCATGGCTGATTCAAGCAACGCAAGCACCGACAACAAGTCGCGCGCCACGCCGGATAGCCAGAAACTCACCTCGTACAGAAGTGAGAACCTTTTTGTTTTGTTTTAAGTTTTGCCCGGTGGGGTAATATTGATCGTTGAGAAGAATAGATGGTGAAATGAAATTTCGATACAAGTTTATCATTATCGTATTGGGTTTGAAATAATATTATTTTTAGTAGGTACCTTCTATTCTTCTTTGGTGCGTAGTTAGGGCTCATTGCTCTCAGCGATGTTAAGTGTTGACAATGGAGATTGTAGTTCCCTTGATATTTATAACATGCACTGATAATTTTATCCTTATTGTCTAAAATATTATGTTTTTATAGCTACTGTTGTCTTCAATGGAAAGTCAAAGTACTTCAATTTAAGAACTTTAATATCAAATGAGACATACTTTACCGTATTAATATACTTTTACCTCTCTGTTTCAGCTTCATTATTCGGTGCAACAGGCACCGGTAATGTAGGAGCAATGAACCCAAATAGCGGATTAGCCAAAGAGAGAGTGTTGAACTCGACGACCGTAGCCGAAATGACTACACCGGTCGACGCTATAATCGAGGAGCGGTCGCAGGACAGCAGTAACAGTAGCAACACGACGACTGTTAACGCGACAAGCACGCCAGTTCCAAACGCGTCTGATAAGACGGATAACGTTGAGAGTAGGCCAGAGAAGGCACCATTGGCCGGTGAGGGTGACGCGACGAAGAGCCACGCGGATAATGACAACAGCTTGAGCACGGCTGGGGGCGTGTCGTCGAGGAATGTCAACAGGTGGCGCCACTCTACCTCGGATTGCTTGGCGTGCGTGCGCACGAGGCCTCCGTCGTCGCATGAGCTTCGCGAAATATTCTTTGCGGGTAAGTAGACTGCATCTCACTTAACACTAGGTGCGATTGCGGTCAAATATTTGCCTTCTCAAACTATACTTAACTTTATTATTATTACCTTGATCACCAACCTCGTAGACTATGTGTTAACTTGTCTAAAACTGCGTTTCCAGTCGAGACATAGATTGGAATGCCTTGTTTATGAATTGGTTTCTTTATAACAAGTGTTTGAATAAGTGAAATGTTCAACGGCCATATTATGCTATGTAGCGTGTGTGGATGATGCGACATTCGACACGGATCGCAGTTCGCATCAGTCTCATGCAAATCTCACACGTCACGGAGCAAGAGAATAGACGTGTTGACACCACCAATCAATTGATGTACTTTTTAAAACTGTCAAAACGAGACTCCTATAGATTTTGTATGGTAATAGAAGCAAGTGACGTCACTATTTCGTCAACTCAAACTCCTTTTTTCAATTACAATTAATGCTACCTAAAATTTTAATTTATAGGTAATTTAAAATTAATTAAGTTGTTAAGATCAGAATCGAGTGTCTTTCAAAAAGTTGATTTAGAATTATTGGGGTATGGTCACAGAATAAGTAATAGTACAGGTACAGAAGGATTACTCCGCAAGACGATTTAAATAAATGCGAGTCTTGCTACGACGCGATACAGTGGAATTCAGCTCGCACAGCACTACGTAACTACAATTTTATTCACCTACAAGTTTTGTCTCTTTCTATCGCGTGCCTCTGAACTCTTCTTACGCTGTTAGGGTTGCTGTATAGTGAAAAAATAATTAATCTACTTATTTGTAATGAGGTACGTATATGTAGGTAAGTATGCATTCATTATGGAAAACCTTGGGAGAGGCCTTTGCCCAGTAGTGGACGTCATTTGGCTGAAACGAACGAACGCATTCTGAGCAGTAGTCATAGTAGGTTAGGTTCCGATACTATCCTAAGAATTATTGATTACCTACATGGCCAACATACCTTTCAGCATCTTTGGGAAGCGAAAATAAAGATAAATCCGGTAGATTTCTTTTCGAATTTAAACACCCGAACGCCGCACAATATTTCTTTCTCTTTGTGTCCATTTTTAAATAATACTTCGATCATAGAATTATAATCATACTACAACGCACGCCAGCGTCCTGACGGGCGCGCGCGTGACACTCGACTGATATAATACCCGCCGGCGCACTGTGATTCGTGTAGAACAAGCTAGCTGGACAAAAGTCATTGTTGAATTTCTGATTATTGTTTATAAAAAACGATAAACAACATCCCAGACATTAAGGATTCCACAATTTTTTACTTTGTTAATTACCTAGTTGTGAGTAATTAACATGGTAAGTGAGGATATGAGGATAGTGTAATTTTTAATTCCTAATTTTGCTCGACTTTCGACAACACCTGACATTATTTTTTACTATGGTGACCAAATATTTGTGTGATGGATTTTGAAGATAAGGGTAAGTACTTTTTATTTTCTGTACAATAAGGTGCATAATAATGCACATAGTTTTAAAAAGTATGGCGAAATGTTGACCTTTATATTTTTCTCAAAATTTTATGTTTGGAAGACTAGAAGTTGTATGCCCCCACTTGACCCCAGTCTGGAATTTATATATATTGTAGCTGTAACCCTCTAGTATTCAAATATACCAGTTTCAGTTTGCACACTTTTGCACAACAATTTTATTTTTTCAGATTAATAAAAAATCAAGTTTTTTGATTAATGATTAAAACATTGAAAAAGTGACCAGAATAGCATGATTTTTAATTTATATTCTCAAAATGTGATGTATTGGGATCACGAAAATTCGCTGAGAGAGTTGAAGAATAGCATCAGTCGCATTTCAATTTCATTTCAATGGACGAAATACGGCAAAACAGGGAACGCTTCATGAAAAACAAAACTGAGTGGATTCCCGGAGCCATAGTGTTACATGTTTCTGTTCATAAAGTTCAGTCTTCCACGTCGAAAGATTCTACACCTGGACGACCACTCAAGGAGTTCGACGAGTCCAGCAAAAAGACGAAAAGAAGAAGACTTTTAGACCTCATTTCCTCAAGAAGTACTTGAGAACTGATATTGGCTGCTGAAGCTGCAGCGCAAATGTCTGCTGGCCACAGCAACTTGGCAAGTCATTAATGTTGTCCCAGTCTACCCACTAAATTAAAAAAAACAGATTCTTTGTTCCATATAAATCGCAAAAATGTTTATATCGAAAAATTGATTTTCATTAAATTCTCCATAAAAAACGGGAATTTCATACTTTAACACATAATACATCATAAGACCAATTATTATTATACTGTAAAGTTAGTTTCTTCTTTCCTTTTTAGTCTGTTTCTCTTGATTTTAGGAAATAAATATTTTATTACCAAAAAAAATTTTTTTTTTCAAACCTACCTATAATAATTATAATAACAAGCCTAATTTATCTTAAATTGCACAAAAAAGTAAGTAATGCGTATATTAAACCCATTAAAGTAAAAAAATAATATTGTCCAGCTAGCTTGTTCTACTCGAATCACTGTGCGGCGGGGCGCTTCGCTGTAGGTAATTATCGGATGTACCGCGCGGAGTGAGCCAGGCCTGGTATGGTGTCAAATAGTCTATTCAATATTTTTAAATGTTTGTACCAGGCATGGACGGCGCGGGGGTGGGGACAGGGACTGGGGCGGGGCCGGCGGGGGCGGGGCCTGCGGGGTCGGGGGCGGGCGAGCCTCGCAGCCCGCCCGCCAGCCCGGCGCCGGCGGAGCGCTCGCCGCACGCCGAGGTGCTGCACCACGTGCACTACATGTCCAACCCCACGCACTTGAGACAGGTGAGACACATTTTATTCAATAACTAGTGTATTCGTACTTATTCGAAAGCCAACACTTTTAGGCCAAGTGAAAAAAATACTCATTGGAACCGCACATACATACAGGGTAGAATTTTGTAATCCCACCTGAAGGGAAAGTAAAGTACCTCCAGAGTAAATACAAATGAGTAGGTCATCTTCATAGAAACGCACCGAGCGCGGTTTGTATGTGAGCGCGCCAATATACGTATGCGGCGCGCACGCACACACTGACAAAATTCGGCGCTACCACGACTGGCTCCCCGTTATCCTCTGGTACCACACTCGGTAAGTGCCTGACGTATCTGAACGGCACAGGGTGGTGTGTTGTGACGTCAAACATCAACGCGACTTCAGACGTGCTTCAGATTTGTATGCTCTGTCACATCTTAAGGCGCCCCACTCTTGCCGCTCCCATATCTCCGGCATTGAGATCAGATCAGAGATCAGTTCTGCGCTAAACCCGTTGTTTTATGATCTTATACTAATCCAAAATTAATGCAAATATTTGAATTTATCCAAGTAACATTGGTTTTATCATCCACAGACTCGCTCAGCGCTGCTGTCGCTGAAGCAACGCCACCCAGACGTGTTCCGCAGTCCGTGCGTGTATTCCGACGTGTGCGCTTTATTAGCCCGCGACACATACATGCTGTGCGCGCGGCGTTTCCTGCAAGAGTTGTTCCTGGATACAAACTTCGAGTGTTTCGCCGCGGAGCCCACCGCCTTGCTCGCTCGCCGTGCCGACCACCGCCACAGCCAATAGCGATTGGCCACGCGTCTCTCGTAGCCGCGGTGACACGGCGGGGGCCGTCTGTGAATGACGTCACGAATAAAGCGTAGTTACACAAAGACAAGTGGTTTTATATTGTCTGTATTAGATTTTTTCTGCAATAATTGCAAGAAATATTGGCGGCTCTTAATTGTAGTGTTTGTTTCTTTGCATTGAAATTTTTAGAGTAATAATAAAAATAACTTTTCATAGCCTTGCCAGTCGCGATTAAACGAAACGCTTTTTTTGCTAAAAGCTGTTTGGATTGATTATGGACACACAAAATGGTAATAAGCATTTTATTATACAAATACGGAAAAAAAATTGGCAAAAACAATCAAGGACTTTCTAGGTTCAGTAGAGAAATATGATACAGACACCAATTAATGTCTTATATTCGTGATGTTATTTACGGATGACCCCGTTGCTTCCAGACTGCCAGCGTGGTGAGTCAAACTCAGTTCTCAAGTACAGTAAGAACCCCAAATATTTGGAAGCTTTTGTAAATTGTTAAATATCGTTCTTAATTGGTGTTATACCTTTTGACTAACAACTCTTGTGACACCCAAGGGCTTAATGTGGTCGGGGGCAATGAGTATTATAATTAAAACCTTAATAAGGTGTTTTGTTTCACGACTTGCGCAGCTATTACTACTATTAATGTCCACAAAGAAAACATTTCTAAAATGACATGTACGGCGGGCAATAAAAATATCTATTTAAGTANTAATGACGTCAATTTTGGGAGAAGGGGGGGGGGGTCATTAAAAATGACGCTAGGATGATTGTAGGGGGGGGGGGTCTAAAATCTGAAAAAATCGATGACGTAATTTATGGACGGCCCCTATGGTAATACAAGCAAGTGACGTCACTATTTCGTCAACTCAAACTCCTTTTTTCAATTACAATTAATGCTACCTAAAATTTTAATTTATAGGTAATTTAAAATTAATTAAGATCAGAATCAAGTGTCTTTCAAAAAGTTGATTTCGAATTATTGGGGTATGGTGTCAAATAGTCTATTCAATATCTTTTAATGTTTGTACCAGGCATGGACGGCGCGGGGGCGGGGCCGGTGGGCGGGGGGGCGTTGGCGGGCGAGGCTCGCAGCCCGCCGGCCAGCCCGGCGCCGGCGGAGCGCTCGCCGCACGCCGAGGTGCTGCACCACGTGCACTACATGTCCAACCCCACGCACTTGAGACAGGTGAGACAGCCCGACGGATCAGAGGGCAGAGTGTGTTTTTTTCAAACGCGCGTCAAAAAATGTCATTAACTATTTTGGCAAATGTGAAGTTTAATTGGTAACTCTATATGAGGTATAGAATGCTGTTTGTTTTCTTAACAATAAAATAAATAAATAAATAAATGTAAAACAGATTGTACAGCGCCCCTAGCGGGAAACTTTCAATAACTAAAATTTTCATACATTTTTTAAACGCGCTCACTAGTGATATAAAGTCACACTCAGCCCACAGCAAACTGAAGTGGCAATGGGCAGGGCACATAGTACGCAGAACTGACCGAAGCCGATGAGGCAGCAAGGTTCAGGCTGGTTTTAGTGTCACGCGAACTGTCAGTGCGGATCGCTCCGCACAGCTGATTTGCATTACTCTAAAACATCCGGACCGCATTACTCTAAAACGCTCCTTAGAAGTTCATACAGATTGGACGTGCGGAGCGGGTCCGTACCGGACGGTCCGCATGACACTAAAACCAGCCTCAGGAATGGAGGCCGCGTACCGGAAAACGCAGCGTGGGACGTCCACCCACAAGGTAGACCGATGACATCATAAAGGTAGCAGGGAAGCGCTGGACGCAGGCCACTACCAATCGATCAACATGGAAAGCATTGGGGGAGGCCTATGTTCAGCAGTGGACGTCCTATGGCTGAAATGATGATGATGAGACACATTTTATATAATAACTAGTGTATTACATACTTATTTGAAACCCAAAACTTTTCGGCCAAATGAAAAAGTCCTTGGATCCACACTGTATACTCCATTAACTTGTTTATTTCTGTTATACTACAGGGGGCGTAGTGTAAGTTTACGTCAAACGCGACTGCGTAAAAAAGTGACATTAAATGTATGACGGATTGTACAGCGCCCCTAGCGGAAACTTTCATGAACTAAAATGTTCATATATTTTTTTAACGCGCTCGATAGTGACGACGTTTGATGTAAACTCACACTAAGCCCTCAGGTCCATTAGCGCATAACTGAGTCAGTGCCTGACGTATGGGAATGGCACGGGATGGGGTTCATGTGACGTCAAACATCAGCGCGACTTCAGACGTGCTTCAGATTTGTATGCTCTGTCACATCTTAAGTCTCCCCACTCTTGCCGCTCCCATATATGATCGCCTACTAGCCGCTGTAGATCAGATCAGATCAGTTCTGCGCTGAACCCGTTGTTTTATGATCTTATGTTAATCCAAAATTAATGCAAATATTTGAATTTATCCAAGTAACATTGGTTTTATCATCCACAGACTCGCTCAGCGCTGCTGTCGCTGAAGCAACGCCACCCAGACGTGTTCCGCAGTCCGTGCGTATATTCCGACGTGTGCGCTTTATTAGCCCGCGACACATACATGCTGTGCGCGCGGCGTTTCCTGCAAGAGTTGTTCCTGGATACAAACTTCGAGTGTTTCGCCGCGGAGCCCACCGCCTTGCTCGCTCGCCGCGCCGACCACCGCCACAGCCAATAGCGATTGGCCACGCGTCTCTCGTAGCCGCGGTGACACGGCGGGGGCCGTCTGTGAATGACGTCACGAATAAAGCGTAGTTCCACAAAGACAAGTGGTTTTATATTGTCTGTATTAGATTTTTTCTGCAATAATTGCAAGAAATATTGGTGGCTCTTAATTGTAGTGTTTGTTTCTTTGCATTGAAATTTTTAGAGTAATAATAAAAATAACTTTTCATAGCCTTGCCAAATTTGTCGCGATTAAACGAAACGCTTTTTTTGCTAAAAGCTGTTTGGATTGATTATGGACACACAAAATGGTAATAAGCATTTTTTATACAAATACGGAAAAAAAATTGGCAAAAACAATCAAGTACTTCCTAGGTTCAGTAGAGAAATATGATACAGACACCAATTAATATCTTATATTCGTGATGTTATTTACGGATGACCCCGTTGCTTCCAGACTGCCACCAGCGTGGTGAGTCAAACTCAGTTCTCAAGTACAGTAAAAACCCCAAATATTTGGAAGCTTTTGTAAATTGTTAAATATCGTTCTTAATTGGTGTTATACCTTTTGACTAACAACTCTTGTGACACCCAAGGGCTTAATGTGGTCGGGGGCAATGAGTATTATAATAAAACCTTAATAAGGTGTTTTGTTTCACGACTTGCGCAGCTATTACTACTATTAAAATGTCCACAAAGAAAACATTTCTAAAATGACATGTACGGTGGGTAATAAANCGGGCAATAAAAATATCTATTTAAGTAAAGCAATAAGTAACGTAACGGTCGAAACGATAGAGGTTTAATCTATTATTAATAACGTTTATTTGGCTTGAAAGAATTGGTACTTTATTTACTTCGATTTGGATCGAAATCGTAGTATTTAACTATGAATCTTGCACGTCTACCTTTACCTAAGATATACCCAAAATCCTTCATAAACGGAAATGAAAAATAAATAACATAACAAGTAGCTTTTTGTGTCGTCCTTTAAATTATTGGGCAAGCAATTAGCTGTCGTTATATAATTTGTACCAGTTAAAAGTATGATTGTAAAGTTAGTTAGTCGTCTTCAGAAGAGAACGTTGACTTTATAGCTATTGCACACGTAACCGTCGGTTAGATTCGTGTATCGTCGTCTACAGTCCTCTCAACTTAAGCTGAGAATTGCATTTGTGTGAGTGCACACCGATAGTTTAGAGTGGCAATCGGCTTGAAGCGCGGCGCGTCCCGCGTATGGTTTATTATAGCAAGCGGCCTGAAGCGCGGCGCGTCCGCCACGCATCGCTTCCTTGTCGCTCACATATTTCACTTAACCCCAGGTACTGGTAGCAGATACGTGTAATTTTATGTAATTGTGTTCCAAATATTAGTGAAATGGCTCCTACTGTAAGTGAATTTCCTGTACGAAATCCATTAAGCAGCCAAGTGAAAGAAATTTTATGCAAATTGAATACGTATTTTAAAGGTGTGAACGAAAAGTTTTTAGTCTGTTTTTATTTTGTAATTTTATAAAGTTTGTCTTTTTGTTGTATTTTGTAAGGCTGGCTGGACGCCCTCTCTATAAACGGTGCTCGCAGAATATCAGCGTGTACTGGTAGCAGATACGTGTAATTTTATGTAATTGTGTTCCAAATATTAGTGAAATGGCTCCTACTGTAAGTGAATTTCCTGTACGAAATCCATTAAGCAGCCAAGTGAAAGAAATTTTATGCAAATTGAATACGTATTTTAAAGGTGTGAACGAAAAGTTTTTAGTCTGTTTTTATTTTGTAATTTTATAAAGTTTGTCTTTTTGTTGTATTTTGTAAGGCTGGCTGGACGCCCTCTCTATAAACGGTGCTCGCAGAATATCAGCGTCGAGGTACATCGTGCCTTGGCATATGAGCGAGGACCTGTTTTTATTTATTTATTTATTTAAAAGGATGTGTCAAGTGTCCTTACATCGGCCCAATTGGTAGCAAGTGTTTTATAGACTTCCTTTTAATAAAACATTAATTTTATTTGTATGTGTTTTACTAACGGTACTTTTGGCGATCACTCACACAAATGCAATTCTCAGCTTAAGTTGATAGGACTGTACCTACGCCAATCGGCTGGTATTCAGTTTTTTGATGGTTTGACTTCCTATTAGTCTTATTCTCAATATTTTTAATTGTTTTCTGAATATCAATTTTGATTACATGTAACATTGTATTGTTATGAAGTAATTTAATTATAGTGTTAACAACTATTTTATTGTATTTACATATTAATGCAAAATATAAGATAAGCTCTTTAGATATTGCTGTATCGCATTAATTAAGCACATGTATGCTTGATAATTTATATTATTTTGTAAGGTTAGTTATGTACCATGTCAAAAGAATCTTCCGGTATCATTAGCATTCGCGCGATGAGTATTGACAATGTTCCTTTCTAATGGTGTGGCTCTGTTAATTAATGTAACTTAAAATAAATGTAAATCTGAAGCTGCATTTAGATCATATGTGTAGGATTTGGAACTCCCGTCTCACTGCGCAACCACAATAGTGTTCGCAGACTGACTACGCACCATTCCCTATGATCCCATAGTTAATTTATTTAAGTGATGTGCCTATCCCACCTTTAGCAACGACGAGAAATATTTCCTATTATAGTGTTTCCTTCATAATTTAATACAAGATAGACAAATAGGTTTAATTACTACACAATTGTGTTCAATTTTTATGTCTTCATAAACATAAATGCATTTATTTCACTTATAATAATTGTTGTTATTTATGAAACTCAAACGAAAATATTATGTAACATTTTGATATTATATGCACCAAAATAGATATCAGGAAAACAGTATGCCACTTATTTGTTATAAATCATTGTTAATGTTCAAGAGTAATATTATTATTGTAGTAGGCTAAGTTTATTTTGTTTGTTTTTTTGTAAGCTAATAAACTTAAAATAGGTCCTCAAAGATATAACACAGTATTGGTAGTGTGTTATCATCTAAAAGTTGTACGTAGTTATACACTCAATACTGCATTTAAATATATTTCAGCATACGATAAAAATATCGTTGCTTTCAAATAAGTAATCTTCTTTACAATTTTATAGTATGTTGGCCTTTTTCATAGTCTTTAACTGTAAACTTCTAGCATTATCTCAGTACATACAAACTGTAACTAATAATGTTCATTGTTCATTTCGATTTCTGAGTTTGTCCTATCACTATTAAAAGTTAATTACTTCCAGTCCATAGTGTATTTTATCTTATATTTATTGTTGGCGTATTTGTAGTGTACCATTAAGTTAGTACATTTCAGGTAATTTACAAAATTTCGGAAGCATGTGCAATTTTATTGTGCATTGTGCAATCAGATTTGCATTTTGCGCCGAGGTTAACAATTAGAATTAACATTATAAAGCTAGTAAATGTTGACGCCAATGCCAGTCATAAATTATTTTGTATATTAATACATTATCGTTATGTGATGTGACACTCATCAATATTCGTAAATTGTTACTTTTATACGCTATTAAAATGTTTCCTCTATATTAGGGGTAATAAATAGTATTTATTTATGAAAAAGGCCGAAGTAAGCTCTAATAAAAATACATGATTATAAAGCAAGTTACGAACTGCAATCTAAAAATGTATTGTGTTACTGCAAAATAGGCAGAGAGTAAATGAAAATATAGTGCCATTGTGCTGGTTCCTTATTAAAATCATTATAAGAAAAACATACATTATAACTCAATTATGTTACAGTCACTTTTCAGTATAATAAAATATTATTTTATACTGTATTTATCGTGGTGTTTTATTGAATTTCATCGACTATCCTAAGGACTATCCGGCATCACTACTAGAAGTCTCTTTCTAAAACTAGCCCTACACAAAATCTCCCACCCGCCGCCTATGATTTAAAGTTTTTTTTTGTAGTTTATATTAATATTTAACATTTAACTATGGAGTGATTAACATAAATGTCACAAGATTTTCTGATAAAACTCACTCGACTCAGATAAATCAGATAGGTCAAACAAAACCTTTGTCAGATCCTCATATTTTGCATGTTAATTTGATGGGGGCCTAAAACCCTGTGCATAAGCTCGCCTATAACGAAAATTATCTGGAATAGAATTTCTGCGATCTAATTCAAAAGTTTAAAAAGTTGACTGGTGTGTTTTTTACATGAAATTAGAATTTAATATTTAGAATAGTAGCAGTACCACGCAGTACCGATTTTACGTGCTCTGTGGTCGGCACTCTGGCACACGGCATCACCATGGGCATCATACACCGCCGCACGGTAATAATATATTACCGTGCCCGCCGCGTTCGCGCCGATCCCTTTTCAACTTGTACATAATTTTGTCGGCCGTTTGGTGTAGTGGTTCAGAACGGACTACTATGCCGAGAGGTCACGGGTTCGATTCCCGGCCGGGCAGAAATTGAAATGATGAATTTTAATTTCTGTGCCGGGTCTGGGTGTGAGTGACTATGTATAATCATAGCTGGGCACCGTTAATCAAATAGTTAACTTCGTTAATCGTTAAACCGTTACTAAAAAAATTAACTTCGTTAAACGTTAAAACGTTACATTTCGGAAGATTTAACGCAAGTTAACGTTAATCGTTAATCCGTTAACACGTGATAATAAAACGAAAAAAATAATTGTATGCAAGGTTCAAATAAATTTAAAAAAAGCTTGTATCGCGAATGGAATTTATTCCGCTTTTATGTTTGCGCTACAAGCTTCCGAAATTATTTGAGCCTTGCATAAGTACAATTATTTTTTCGTTTTAGGACAACAGCATATTTTCAGAATAAAAGCTTGATTTTAAAAAAGTTTTTTTTTATTATAATTTTATTTTACACTTTTTAGTTGTATCTCAATCTCAGAGCCTTGGTACAATTACAATACAATTTAGCACCAAAGTGCTCGAAAAGAAATCCAACAAACCCCAACTCGATAAGTTTACACAGTTTCGTTTAGGAATTCCTATGGCCACCTCCTGACTCCATCATCAGGACCCTGGACATCATCTAGTACTAAAGTGCTCGAAAAGGCAAATCCAACGAACCCAAATTTGATGAGATTCCGCCGTTTCATTTAGGAGTTCCTATGGCCACCTCCTGACCCAACCATCAGACCAGCTCAATGGTACCATAACATTGCATTGTCCTCGTACTTACATAAATATACCAAATTTTAAATAACTGAAACTCGAAAAAATCGAATTGGTGGGACTCGAACCCACGACCTACCGCTTGCCGGGCGACTGCTCTTTCAACTGGATGGACCTGGATGAACCTGTCGAAATTTTCAAGTGTCGTGGGTTTGAGTCCCGCCTTAGGCAGTTCGATTTTTTCAAGTTGTTTATTTAAAATTTAGTTTGAGAAGCGACTCAATTCGCTAATAAATTTTAATAACGATGAGTATACTTTCAGCTCAATCGGTTGAGGAGAACTGGTCTTAAATTCAGTTGCAAGATTTGTCCCACTCATTATTAACAAGTGAAGTCAATATAAAGCTTGTAAATAAATTTAAAAAAGCTTTTTTTATATCGTTGCGTTAGTGATCTGGTTACAAAAACTGTTGTTTTGTGTTCTGGAAGTTCTGGAAGCCCGAACGTACTTGTCAGAACGCGTTTTTCTAGCGTTTTTCAGCGTGCCTGCTGTATCTTTTTGTTAAATAGTAGGTACTGGATTAACGATTAACGGACTTAGGATAATTTAACGGAAGTGTTTGCGTNCTAACATCAATTTTACGATTTGGCCACGATATAAATGAATATTAGTGTTAAATTTGACTTATTACTTATTAATCAATAAACTTAAATGAGAAAAATTCAATAAAAATAAAGAAAAGATACCAATTGAAATAATTATAAAATTTTTCGTTTTCACCCGGTGTAAACACCCACGGGTGGAATGAAACGGGTTTTTATTGGGTTTTTACCCTCATGTGGGTTTTTACCCGGGTGGAAACCCATCTCTAATCCTGATACATAAAGTAAGCCTATTAATTTAACACAGGTACGACTGTACTCAGTGTTGCACTATCAAATGCAATTGAGGCGCCTCTATGCCAGGGTTTTTATGTTCCTGGTCAGGCTATAAAGGAAAATACCCGGGAAGATTATCGTTATGCTATTGATATTGTCTTTGAAAGTGACAGTTGACCATAAACAAATAGTCTAATCTAATCTGTACGAGTACTAACTGACAGTGACAGACATGTATTACTTTTCTCTATGTTCTTGAATTTCTTGATGTCAGTCAGGCATGTCAGGTGGAGATTGTTTTATTTACTTTTCTTCTTTGATGGTTACAAACACATTGTACCTTTTCAGCTAATTTTCATAATTCAAAACTAAGTTGCCTGTACAATTCAATACGACAATATTAACTAAGCCTAACTGGATTATTTAGCAAGCTATTTAAAATGGACGTCGACGTACAAGAAGGTACATCAAATTCATCTGTTTTGCCACTTCCTCCTCAAGGATGGAGTAAAGAAGACAAATATTGTTTTTTGCAAGCTCTTAAATGCAGCAATTCCAGTTCAGCTGACGAAATCATAACTTTTTTTCCTTCAAAATCACCAGAAGAAATAGAAGAAATGATTAATTACTACAAGAAGAGAGTTGCAATGCAAACCCAAGCGAATATCAAAATTCCCACTGCAAAGAAAACATTAAAAAAGATTCCACGTGCCCCCATAGCCAAGTGGGCTAAACTTCTCACAGATTCATTATCTTGTAAGGAGTTGGAGACAGAAACTTCAACTGCTCTTCGTTTAATTGCAGAGTTTGAGAGTATACCTACATCATCAAGTACTGGCACAGTCGATTTTAAAGGTGTTTATCATACTATTGCTAATGCAATGGAAGGGAAAATATTGACAGAGGATAAAACAATAATTGCAATATTAGAAAAATGTATACTTGAAACTGCATTTTCAGGAAAAGCATTTATTAGGAGAAGTGCATTGCGAAATGTTATAAACGCTGTTAACTTGTCTGACAAAGAAATTCATGTATTTCCTAGACCTACAGAAAATCATGAGTTAGCAGCTCTTAGACATTTGAGTTCACAGCGTAAATATAATCCATTAAAAGTTCCTGATACTTTTCTAAAGCCTTCCTTCCAACACGACAGAAATGTATTTATAATTGAAGAAAATGAGGAAGAGCGGCAATTTTTTTTGAAAATGTTAAATAAAGCAACAAAGAACTCAAAATCTGAGAATTAAAAAAGTTGTTGAACTTCTTGTTGTCATTTTACTGAATACTGAATGGTGAAATAATTACTAATGTTATGTTTAAGATCTTATCTTTAAAATAAAGCATGCTGTGACATGACAGGTATTTATAAGTATTGCATTTGAGAATATGAATAAATGTTGCAGTAATCTATTTAATACTTTTTATTTATCTAAGTATGTAGGTACCCCAATAATATTAATTTCACAAAACTTATGAACCTGTACTATTATTGTGCACTGCCCTTTGCTGTCTTTCTTGCTGGTATGAGAGATAGCTAGCAACCAATAGACTTGATGAGATTTTTATTATATTTAAGTTAGAATAAAAGGCTACTTTACAATAAATATAGGTAAGTACACATTTATTGCTTACATTTTAAAGTCGAATCCTATCACCTATTCATGATAAGACCTAAAGTTTAATTTTAACAACAACATTTTTTTACATTATTTTCACTGATTACTTATTATTTGTCTTAAGCTGACTGTAACTACTAGGTTACTCTTAGACCTTATGGGTCATAAAACAGGTCATGAAGTTAAGAACATTATAAATCTAAATCTTTTTAGGGGAAAGTGAAGTTATTTATGTTTTGTTGTGTAATGGTAGTAGAGATAAATGTGCAAACTTCACAAAGCCACAATTAAAAATTAAATAAAGGTTTGGGAGTACATATAGTGAAAATTAATAATCACCTATTGTCGTAAGTTAAAGTAATTTTATTATTTGACTATTTACAAAGCATTAACCATTTAACCATTCAATGAAGCGACTGAAGAGTTTGACTGCGATACTGACGACTCGGTCCCAGAAGCTTGGTTCGTCTTGCGCATCCTCGCTTTGTGCTGTGGGGTAGTCGTCTGTGTCAAATGTTTCAACCTGCCTCTTTTCCCTCATTAACTCATTCACATTACCTGTACAAAAGACATAAATATGAGTTAAATTAAAAAAATTTAAGGCGCGCGCGCACGGGTGTAATGACTAAGTACTTAAGTACCTAGTCACCGTGACAGTTTCGCCCGTATTAACAAACATTACTATGAGGCCTCATAGTGCGCGTGGACGCACTGGGTGGGTGTCACACGAACCAATCACAGAGCTTATTAAACGCTGTGCGTTCGATTTACTGCTTCACTTAAGCAAGCTTCGTTTGTGAATACATGCGTTTATCTCTCTTGTTTCTCTTTAAAAAGGTGTGAAAAAAATACATCTTAGGTACCTACTGTCACGGACAAAAAAGTCACCCGTGCGTCCTTGGAGTTAGTTGTAACACAATAAATTCAGCTAAAAGTCATTCAATATTAGTTAGTTTCAAGTTCTAGTGATGTGGGAGTTGAATACGACGTGAGGAGGTCCTGAGTTCGACTCCCGGGTCGGACATGCAAAGTCAATGTCAATGTCTCCGTAGCTCAGCGGTCAGAGTTGCTGTGGTAGTTGCGCGGCAAGCAAAAGGTCGTAGGTTCTACCTACCTACTTAACTGAGGCAATCAATTTATTCATTTAGGAATAGGTACTCACTAGATAAAATTGAAGAATCACCGGAAATCTGAAAAAATATATGAAAACTATTAGACTATTAGTTATTATTGTACTAATATAAATAAGCACTGTTAAAAATATCATAACTTTTTTAAAGATATTTATGATTCACTGTAACTACACAATACACAATGATTCGGGGGTCTGGTACACGTGAACAGTGGATGCAAACGATCCACAATAACCAAAGCCATAAATTGGATTTAACAAAACATAAATTTATCATTTTATGGCAAAGGTACCAGTGTAGTCCTACAGAACTCGATGGTTCACTTCAGCCTTACGATGCACCAACCTTTCCTCCTTTAATAATCATTTAAAAGTTACAAAAGCTAAAACCACGAATTGGTCGAATTGAATATGACATACTTATGTAAAATCTAATTAATTATAATACTAAGTTCGCGAACTTCGCTGCCGGTTCTTTTTTATTTGGAACTAAGTTAAATTATTAAAAAATTGTATGTAATTAGGTATTACGTATAAAATATTCTTACATGATAGGCTGAACAGCATGAGATCAATATCGCCGCAAGTGCGAACAGCAGTACCCCAACACTTGTCGGTCTCATGTCTCCGGTTCCAATTATCGGTTTGACTCTCCATGACTGTGAACTTGCGGTTTTATATGAGGGCGTGGTTTTGCTTGATTGTAGCGGAAAATCATGCCAGGTAATCACAGGCCATGCGACAAGTGCTTTTAAATAGCTTGCTAATTTAATGTGCATTCGTGTAGCTACCCCTGTAACTTATTATTACATAACTAACATGATTAAAATCATAGAATACCTATATGCACAATACAAAACAAGATCTGTAAATTTAAAATTTATCTGTACGACTTTTTAATAAGGTAAAATTTACCACCTTACATTAGCGCCTACGCGCCACGGGAGTACGCAAAGTAACTTACTTCAATTAGGATACCTAGCTACTTATTTTTGTGGGTATCCTATTCCCACCGCTGCTACCTGGTTTACCTACAGCTTTACCGTCAAAAAACATTAGCACCTGCCTAGATAAGCTTACTGATTGTTACCTATTATTGTAATTAAGCTTAATTAATTTTGAAATCATAGAAATCTAAATCTAGTGGAAAGCTCCACCCACGCAGTGTCTGGGGAAAATATTAAATTTTATCGGTATTTATTTGCTAACAAAGTATTAGTACTACTTAAGTACCTATTTCTCAATACCTTTTGTAGGTTTATTTTAGCCCAAATTACAGAAGGAACCTGCCCAACTACCCACGTTCCACTTTAGGTACCTAGTACTTATACTTATTTTTACCTTACTACTAAGTGCCAGGTAAAATAGTTTTTTTGTGTCGAACATCATAAAATAGCCTCAACAAACACCTAATGTAATTCGGAGGGTAGATGTATTAAAAAGAACTTAAATCTATCTCTATCTTCGTAATAAGATGAATTATTATGATGACAGCATTTTGGAATATCAACAGAGGCACTTTCTACCAGTCAAATAGTGTAAGTAGGTAGGAGTCTGGCGAGTGGTTATATCATTCAGTCCTTCAAAATAATTTTCCCAAAAAAACGTTTTCGAAATTAAAGTACCTAAATTTTTAATGATTTTCCATTTGATTGTACACACATACGTGCATGTCGTTTTCATTATGGCGACCTTGTCGATTCACCAGCGTGTTCCGCATGAAAGAATGGATACAATAGGGTTCTAGATGGTGAATCGGATAGGCGTGGGCTACTGTGAAGACGAGTCATATCCTAACGTAACATTATCAAGTTTTTCTCTGAATTACGTTGATACGACAAAACATGGTCAAATGATTTTTATTACAAGCTTTAAGTAGGTATATTGACTTCAGTATGTGTGGGACAAATCTTGCAACTGAATTTAAGACCACTTCTCAACCGATTGAGCTGAAATTTGGTATACTTATGTAAATACGATGACAATGCAATGTTATGGTACCATTGAGCTGGTTTAATGATGGAGTCAGGAGGTGGCCATAGGAACTCCTAAATGAAACGGCGGAAACTTATCGAGTTTGGGTTCGTTGGATTCGTCTTCCCGAGCACTTTATTGCTAAATGATGACCAGGGCCCAGATTGAGATACCTACAACTAAAAAGTGTAAAATAAAATTTTAATAAAAGAAAACTTTTTAAAAACAAGCTTTATTCAGACATGCAGTTGTACTAAAACGAAAAAAAAATTTATGCAATGGTCAAATAATTTCTAAAGCTTGTAGCGCAAACAGAAAAATAAATTCCATGCGCGATACAAGCTTTCGAAATTATTTGACCATTGCATACAATTTTTTTTTCGTTTTATTATTTGTAAACTCGTGAGGCAGGTATAGGACATGGTTTCTGCCATTTAAGATAATGTAACTCTAAAATGACCGTAACTCCACTCTACATTGATTTCTTAAGTCTCTACGACTTATTCCCGTTGCCCACATTAGGCTTGTCCCCACTAGTGAAGACATCATCATCATTTCAGCCATAGGATGTCCACTGCTGAACATAGAGGCCTCCCCCAATGCTTTCCATGTTGATCGATTGGTAGCGGCCTGCGTCCAGCGCTTCCCTGCTATCTTTATGATGTCGTCGGTCCACTTTGTGGGTGGACGTCCCACGCTGCGTTTTCCGGTACGTGGTAGTGAAGACAACGGGAATTTAATGAAATAATAAATTTTAATTATATTCTTAACAGTGGGGACAAGCCTGAAGGAGACAACTGGAATAAACCTGTCCCTACTATTCTACGTAGTAAAATGTACTAAGTTCCAGCTTGTTAGAACGGTTTCTGAATTACTTATTTATTTTTATTTTGGCGGCGGACTTAATGCGCGGTGGCATTCTGTGTTAGTCAACCACACAATTACATTCTTTAAATAATATTAGCCTTCCTACATCAATTTGAACTTTATGCTGTGAAGGTTCAGTTAAAACCAATGACTTTTATCCTGCTTAAGGGTTAAATTCCTATTCATTGTCTACACAAGAATAACTGGCTTTAAAATCTTTGATTTAATAACAATATCTGTCTGAATCATAAAATCACTACTGTAAGGTATCTTCATAAATACAGTGTGAGTCACGTTAAAGTGTACATATGAAAATAGATGAAACTAGACCTATTTTTATCGACAAAAAAGAGGTCAAAAATTTTTTGAGATTTTTTTAAATTTTTTTATAGAATTTTTCGAACGATCATAGCAAATGTGATAGGGATAGAGACATGCGATTTTTGGTTTTACAAAGGTAATACGATAGAGAATAATACAAAGTAATAAAAACCACCTATTATAGGGGCATTTTTTGGAGAAATTCATCAAATAACCAAAAAAACACGAATTTAAAAGCAGATTTTTTTCAAAAAGTATCATTTTTTATTATTTGTTGGCCTTTTTTGTGTATTTTATGTATTTTTTTAGTATCGCCTATTATTTAGCAATATTACTGTTTTTATCAGGATATACCGCTTAGTTTAAAAGTTATTACGTTTTCTTTACAATAAGTAATTGGAAGAAAAAAAATTCTATAAAAAATTAAAAAAAAATCTCAAAAAAATTTTGACCTCTTTTTTGTCGATAAAAATAGGTCTAGTTTAATCTATTTTCATATGTACACTTTAACGTGACTCACACTGTATACCATNTAAATTTTTAATGATTTTCCATTTGATTGTACACACATACGTGCATGTCGCACGGTGGTCTGAAAATGAAGCTCCCATACCATAGAAACTTAATGTCAGAAATTAATAAATAAAAATATGTATTGTGTTTAGTATACCTCCCTTTGTTTTACTAATATAGTATGAAGGGTATGAGTAGCTCCATGTGTGAGAAAAAAAATATTTTTATTTTTTTTGTATGGAAAAAAACACTTAAAGTGGATTTTTTTTAAACTGAATAGAACTGAAGGGCTGGTACTCACATGAGCTATTGCACCATATACGGCGATCAAGATGACATACAATAATTCTTGTGCCTTTGGTTGCCGCTTTGCATGTACCAAGCTTTGGAAATTTTGAATTTTCGGTAGGTGATCTTTCAAGTCTTTGATGTTATTTTATTAAGTTATTAACCGCTTTCAATACGAGAATAGTATGTAAATTAATACTCATATAACTAGGAATATTTTTAAATAATTTTTATTTTGAAAATATAAAAAAATAAAACATTTAATCATTGAATGAAGTAACCAACTAGTTGGTAACTGACATTGTTATTAGGTACTAACCTGCTAATGACGTTTTAATGAAAATAATAGAAATCAATATTGATTAAATAAACAACTTAAAAAATTGAACTGCCTAATAGGCCAGTAGAATTACATTTGAAATCGGAAATAATTCCTACAATAGATTTTATTGTTTTAAT